TCTCTGTGTAGCTTTGGAGCCTATCCTGGCACTCGCTCTGGAGACCAGATTGGCCTCGAACTCACAGAGATCCACCTGCCTCTGCCTCCCGAATGCTGGGATTAAAGGTGTGTGCCACCAACGCCCGGCCCAATTTTCTTTTTGATAGTGTTCAATATGCCTGTTTTGTCCTGTCTTGACATCAGGTTAATAGCCTTACAGAATGAGTTAGAAGTATAGCTGGTTTTGACTTAAAGAGTTTTAGAAGAGTTGGAACTAGTTCTTGTTTAAATGTCTGATGGCAAAATAGCCATTGAAACCATCTGCTCCTGGATTCCCCCTCCCTCCCTCCCCCACTGCCATGGTGAGTGTTTTTGCTTATTGATTTTTATCTCTGCTTGCTTTAAATCTACTCAGACTTTCTGTTATTTATTGAGTCAGTTGGCCAGCTTGTGTTCTTCTAGGAATTAGATTATTTTGCCTAGATCTTCTAATTTATGGAGGTATCATTTTTATGGTATTTCCTTATATTTCTGTTTTTTTCCTTAAAGTCAGTGATGTTACTTTTCACCTCAATTTTTGAAATTTTAAGCTTATCTAGGTTTTCATTATCTAGTTAACGTTCTACATTTTTTATTTTGTAAGTAATGAACTTTTAGTCTCTATTTTTCCATTCTGTATTTCATTAATTTCTCCTCTAGCCATTTATTTACATTCTGCTTGCTTTGAGTCAGTTTTTAATTCATTTTCTCTAGTGTGGGACATGAGGTTATACATACATACACATACATTTACGAATACACATATATTCCTAAATACATAAACACAGCCTGCTTTTTACAATGTTACTTATATGTATGTTTTCAGAACTGGCCATTTAGTATAGCATAACCAATTGGTATGCTCTATCCCTGTGAAGACTGTTTCTCCCACTCTGAGTATTCCTAGCTGCCTGTAGTTCTTTGTGTAGGGTTGAGGCCTCATGATCTTTCCCCCTGTCTGCTCTAACATGTCTCTTGTTGTCCTTGTTCAGCTCATATTTAGGTAGTCATGTTTGTGAGAGTTTATGAGGCGGGGGCATCTCATTCTTCAGAGACATGGCCTCACAACAAACCCCTAGATCCACTGACTCTTGCAATCTTCTTTTTTCCCTATTTGTTTGTTTGTTGTTTTTTATTTGTTTTTACACCCCAACTGCCGGTCCTCTTCCTCCTCTCCCCCCAGTCCATCCTCTCCAACCTCCTCTTTATCCACTCCTCCAGTATGACAGTGTGGGACTCAGATGATCCCAATTGTCAGACTTGTTTAGTTAACTCCTCTGCACTATTCCACTAAATTGATGCTCTTTGCTTTGCTTACCCACTAATATTTCTGCTTCAATACCAATTAATTATAGAGGTTTTCTTAAATTTCTAGAACCATAAAACTCATTCTTTTCCAGTGTTGGATTAGAGGGTATAAGGATAAATGAATTTAAAGGTTCATAACCTACAGCTTGGGGTGCTGAAATGCTGTGGAGCCAAAAGGTGAATTGATACTCTATAGCTATGAGTTTCTGGCTAATTCTCAGAGGTTTGGTTTGTTTCTTTGTTTGTTTGTTTGTTTGTTTGTTTGATAGATACTGTAACACCATTTCTCTCTCAAAAATAAAATTTCAGGCTGGGTGTGGTGGCACATGCCACCACATCCTACTACTGAGATGTAAAGGCAGGGGATGCTTTTTGATTTTGAGGCTAGCCTGGTCTATATAGCAATCTCCAGGCCAGCCAAGACTGCATAATAAGACCCTATCTTTAAAATAAAACAAAGAAAAGCTTGGGACAGCAAATAAAAGCAAACAGCCCATAGGAAGTCCACAACATTTAGCAGTATTAAACTAGCTTCCCAAGGTTTCTAGCAGTTTCTCTCATTTGGTCTTTCTGGATAACCACTCCTTAATTTGACCATTCTCTATCCCTCCCTCTCTCATATATATATATATATATATATATATGTATATATATATATATATATTCTATGTCGCAACTTACTTTCTTTTTTAGCCAAATGGTATTTTTTCCTCAGTACATATGGAAGACTGCTTTCTAGACTACCACTGCTACAATATCTTAAAGCTAAAATCCATAGTTGCTTAAGTCTTACATAAAACAGCATGGTGTTTACATATTGAAAAGCCAGCATGCTTCCATTGTAATCTTAAAAACCATCTTATAGTAAAGACAAACTAAGTTAATTCCTTTTACAACTAAACCTGTTTCTCAAGGATTGGGCTATTCCCCACCTGTAACCTTAACTACAAATGATTCTGTAATAACTGTTCCTGGAATGGCAATAATATCTTCGTTTCAAAGGTTATATAACCACCTATGACTACTTTGTATGACTGCCTGTTTTTATGACTACCTTGTTATGCCCACCTTGCAACCTTGTCTTTGTTTCAGAAGGTCATTACTACTAACTTGTATTTATATTCTGCTTCTGTAACCCAGCCTGTCTTGCCCACCAAATCCATTTGGAAACTCCCATCCCTGAGCTATAAAAGCATTGTCTTCTTCAGATCCAATGCTGACCTCTCAAACCACATGTTAGGGGGAGTCAGCCAGTGTAGACAAATGACAATGTTTGCTTTAATTACCTGCTTTAATTAATTTGGCCATGGTGGTTAGGCTCAGTGGTCATTCTCCTCCTGTCTTTGGGATTAACAATATAACATGTACATATCCTTTCAGATGCTCCCTGCCCATAAACTTGAGCTTAAAGTTGCTCACGTAGATCTTAAGTTGTTCTCCCTTTTTTTTTTTTTTTTTGGAGTTATGACAGTTTGCATAAGCAACTTCAGAGTCATTATTAATTATTTCAACAGCTGAGGAATGTCTCTTATCCTCTCACATTTACATGTTACTTAATATACCATAAAGGGGACAAAATGTGGCCAAATTTAAACTTAGCTTAAAACTCAGATGTAATTCTAGATATTCAGTGAATTGTTTTTGATCCTTCTGTGGTAAATTTAGTCATTGTGAATTAGTGAATGACACTAATCAATAAACTGCAGGGATTTTACACAGATAAACAGATAAGGTAAAGCAAAATTCAGTGTTTAAAAGTGAAGAATTTTTAATAGAAGCCTTGCAGTGTTCGTGAAGGCAATAATTAATTGTGTTTGTAATTTCTGTGTCCAATGAAGAAACTATTTTTTTGCTTTAATTATGAAGCCTGCATATATGCACACTGGTGCTTATATATTATTATCTCAAATATGAAAACTTCCTTGCAAAAAAAAGAAAAAGAAAACTTACTTTCCATTTTGACTCTGATATATAAAATGACCATTCAGTCTATGTCTGTTTGCTTCTTTTATTCTTACAAACTACACCTCTGATAACAGGTCCCATTTACTGAGCTGCTTATATGCCTGATACAGTTTCATATTTTAGCTACAGTCTCATAATTTCTATAGCATTTTATGGTAAAGCCCTATTATGACCCCCACATTCTCTTATTGATATTTTAATACATGTGAGACAGAAAACATGGAGACAGTATGTGGCTAGCCTCAGTTCACAAAGGTTGCTAGGATTCCCACCTATAACTGAATCTTGTCCGTTACCATATTCTAAACAGAAAGTGAAAGTGAAGACCAAAATGCTGTTCTTATATCCCATGGTGCCTTCTCAGATTTTTTTATAATATGCTTTGAAATAAATAGTAAGTTATGAAGTATCTGCACCACATCTGAGAGAATGATTCATGATTTGTTAGTGCTCTACTGGTCCATAATTGGATTTATATTGGCTTAAGTTGAATGTTGTTATGAAAAGTGGTATTAGGTATGGTAGGAATAGTTTTCCTCCCTTCCTACCTGTGAATTTTATATTTTCAAATCCTCTTGTATTGTAGAGTCATGGTCTGTGTAAGTAAGTGTCTCTGGAAGCACATCTGTTTTGAAGAAGCAAGTGTGCTCAATTATCCTTCACAGCTTTTCATTTTTTCTACCTCTGAAGGGTTGGATAAAAAAGGGGGATTCAAATTAGGCCAGATCTGTATGTAAAAAAGGTTAACACTGGGCCAAATAAAGTATCTTGCTGTTATTCAGTATTTATAGGTGACCTGTCGTTATCCTATATTTGATACAGTAAAGTCATTTGATTGATTTTTTCCATTTCACAGGTTTCTGACAGAAGAAGATGTGTATTTGTTTGTGGTCTGCGTGTGCCTGTTGTGCCTGTGCCTGTGCCTGTATCTGTGTGAAACTTTACTAAGATTGTAGCTGATCAATATGCTTCGTAGGATCAAGGTCTTCAGTAATAATTAATGCCACCCTTTTGTAGGAGACTCTTGGGAGAAGCTTGCTGCAATTTTTTTTTTTTAATAAGTGAAATACCCTAATTCTAGACACCATATTTTCAGTAGCTCTATAAATTTAAGAAGTGAAAAGAAAGCAATTGTGACAGGATATTAGCAGATCTTGAATTTTGATTCATACTGTCTATGTCACTGTACTTGCTTATTGTTTTTTATAGTGATCATTTTTCTAAGAAGGAAATAAATATTGAGAGTAGTATATGAAACACATTTGACAGCATGTTTAAAAAAAATCCATTGGTAGAGAGTTCAAACAGTTCAGATGTCTTCTTAGTCACTAATGTATGTTGTATATTGCCTACTTTGGGCTCACATAGAAAGTTTGTATTCGAATATGTTACATAGTCTTAATATATAATAAAATATGTTTAATACCTAATAGAATGTTTGAACATTTAATTATGGCGGTATTACAGTCCTGCTCCCATGACGAATTTTTTGATCTATACTTTTGTTTGGGATAGAAATAAATGAATTTTTTAAAAGTCACTTTTGGAAGAGACACAAAACTGCATCTACATAGTTGTTATTTCTAAGTCACAGAGACTACTGGCCACTGTGGACTGCCACTAGATACTGCTAATGTCATTTCCTTGTAAAACTCCTTGCTTGTTCTTACTTGTCTTCTAATGATACTACATTTATTTCTTTCCCAGATCTTCCTCAGAACTGTGATCCTAACATTCCCTTAGTTGCTCAGGAATTAATGAAAAAGATGATACGTCAGTTTGCCATTGAGTACATTTCAAAAAGTGGTAAAATTCAAGAAAATAGAAATGGTTCGATTGGAGCAAGTCTCGTATATAAAAGTATCCAAATGAACCAAGCAGAGAACTGCCTTCAGGATGAGCAGGAAGGCCCCTTAGACCTCACTGTGACTCGAACGCAAGAGCAAACTGCTCAGCAAGGTAAGTTGTTTGTTTAACATGTGATACATACTTTGTTTTGTTTTTAAATACTTAAACATGGATATGTTTTATGTTTATAGGGGAAGTTGTCTTCCTTTCCTCGATTCATTTATATGGCATAGACCAGAAAGATAAAAATTTAAAACTCTGGTGCAGTTTTTAAAGATTTATCTTTAGTTTTTAATTATGTATGTATGGTGCTAGTGCACATGAGTGCAGGTGCCCAGGGAGGCTTGAAGAGGGAATCAAATATCTAAAGTTGGCAGTTAGAGCCTGTTAATGTAGATTCTGGGATGCAAACCCAGGTGATCTGGAAGAACAGTACATGCTTTTAAACACTGAGCCATCTCTCCAGGCCCCTGTACTACATTTTTAGTAGTTTATAAAAGAAAAATTGATGTCTTCCTGGTTTTTTTTCAAAATGTTAAGAATCTCGTTGAACAACTTAGAAGTAAAGAACATGTATAAAGAGATACTATGAGAAATAATTGTTTTTCTAGTAGACAGCCAAAAACATCACTTTGGTATTTGCTCTTTAGTTTCTGCACTGAGAAATAAGTAGAAGGTTTACCATCCAGTGGGTTTTTGTTGTTGATCTTGTTTTTTTTTTTTTTTTTTTTTTTTTTTTTTTTTTTTTTTTTAGATTTATTTGCTTTATTTTATGTGTAAGTAAATTTTTCCTACATGTATTTCAGTGTACCACATGCATGTCTTGTGACTTCAGAAGTCAGAAGAGGGTGTTAGACTCTCTGAAACTGAAATTACAAATGGTTGTGAGCCATCATGTGGGTACTGAGACTCAAACTTAGATCCTCTTTAGAGCATCAATTGCTCTAAACTGCTAGGCCATCTCTCCAGTGCCCTCTCCATCCAGTTTTTTATGATGTAACTGAGAAAGGGGAAAGTTGGACCTGTGATAAATACACTACACTCCTCTAATTAAACATAGAGATACATTTTTTTCAGAAGGTATTTATACCATGTTGAATATATGTAGAGCTTGTTTATATCTATGACTTCACAGAAGAAAAACTAAAAGAGCCTTTTAAGAATGTGGGAAGGATACCAAATAAATGGCTTATCTGGAGATGAGAGAACAAATAGCTTTTATCAACGTGGTTTAGTGATCATGTTACTTCCTATGGTTGGAGCGGGGAAGTTATCTTTGAAATGATACTAGAATATATTGGCATTAGGACTCTAAGGAATGAGCACATCATGGGTCAGTGTTTACATGAGACAGTATCTATAGTGTGTGAGACCTACCAATGTTGAAACATGAAAGTAATCCCCCTTATTTGATCCCTAATTTTAGACTGTTAGTTATGTTTATAAGAAATATTAAGTTATTAGTCTATAAGAAAGGTAAAATACAGCTGCAGTATAAGGCTTAAGAAAAATATGTATCTATAGTTTGGCTTTGGACTATAAAGCACAGGTTTTTAAATTTTTATTTGCTGTCTATATTTTATATCTCCTCTCCTTTTACAGAAGCAGCTTAGCATTCTGCAAGTTAGAACATGAGCCTTGGTGTGTAAAAGACTTATGGTTGCAAATAGGAAAGGATAGCAAAAGAAAGGAAAATTGAAACTTAACAAACATAAGTTCAAAATCCTAAATAAGTTTCATCAAATCGAATACCCTGAAATATTGTACACGTCCATAATCTCTGCACTTAGAACGTAGAGGCAGGAAAATCAAAAGTTCAGGGCCAGCCTGGACTACATGAGACCTGTTTGAAAGGAGAAAAAAACTAAAATCATAATAAAGAAACACTGAACAGTGAAACTGATAAACTATGTAAGACCTTGCAGAGAACATCATATAACTTTTTGAAGGTCATAAAATAAGATTTCCAAAGCAAGTGCTTATATTTCAATTAATTAGGAATGCTTTTGCAGATTTAATACCTCATTACAATTTTACTAGTTTGTTGATTTTATTAAAGTAAAATGACCTTACTAAAGTGAAATGACTTCCTGATCTTAAAATTGACAAGAAAATTTTAAAGAGCCAAGAATAACAAAATTGCTGCTTGGTGATGGCACACACCTTTAATCCCAGCACTTGGAGACAGGGCAGGTGGATCTCTGAGTGCTAAATCAGCCTGGTCTACAGAGTGAGTTCCAGAACAGCCAAGGGTACATAGAGAAACCCTTCCTTGAAAGAAAAGAAAAAAAAAAAAAGAATAACAAAACCAAGGTAATGATAAGCTTACTTTAAGACCCATGAAGGATTTATAGTGCAGTAATTAAAACTGGGTCCTTTTGGTCAGAATATGTATCAGTAAAAGCTCAAAACTTTCCCTGGAATTATTGAAATCTTAGTAAAATACAGATGTTAGTATAAATCCCTGGGGAAGATATCCTCTTCTGTAAATGTTCCAAGGCAACAGGTTACACATGTGGAAGGAGGTTTACCATCTTTTTTTCCTCCTCTTTTTATTTGTTTTACATATCAGTCCCAGTTCCCTCTCCCTCCCATTTTCTCCCCCCACACTGACTCCCTATCCCATCCCCTTTCTGCTCCCCATGGAGGGTGAGGCCTTCCATGGGAGATCTTCAAAGTTTGTCATATCATTTGGAGCAGGGCTAGGCCCTCCCCTGTGTGTCTAGGCTGAGAGAGTATGCCTTTATGTGGAGAGGGCACCCAAAGTCCATTCGTGTTTAGGGATAAATACTGATCCACTACCAGAGGCCACGCCCTGTCCACTGCTCAGGTCTCCTTACTGACACCCACATTCAGGGGGGTCTGGATCAGTCCCATGCTGGATTCCCAGCTGTCAGTCTGAGGTCCATAAGCTCCTCCTTGTTCAGGTCAGCTGTTTCTGTGGATTTCTCCAGCCTGGTCTTGACCCCTTTGCTATCACTCCTCCTTCTGGGCTGGAGAGATGGCTCAGCCATTAAAGGCTAGGCTCACAATCAAAGAGACAATCCCTACTGTATACTATTCATAAAAAAAAAAAAAAGTTAAGGGGTAAGTGTGAAAAGTACATTTTTTGTCAGAACACTATACAGAATAGAATTTTGGCTAATGAAGTTTCTAGAATATGACTGCTTGAATTAGAGCATGCAGTTTTCACTACTCATAACTTTTGCAGGCCATTGATCATCTTGTCCTGTAATTAGAAAATTAGCATTAATAAAGCCATGCTGTTGTTCGAACTTCAATGTGTTAAATCCCACTCTCAGTATAGCACTGTCGTAGTTGCTTTCTGTTGCTATGATAAACATCATAACCAAAGGCAGCTTGAGGTAGAAAGGGGATATTTGACTTGGACATCCTGATCATTGAGGGAAACAGGACAGGAAGTCAAGCAGTTGCAGAAGCAAGCAACCATGGTTGCTTGTTTTCCAGGTCATGCTGTTTGCTTCTTAAACAACTCAGGACCACCTACCCAAGGGTGGTACTGCCCATACTAGCCTGAGCCTTCCCACATTAATCAGTAAATTCCCTCATAGACATTCCCATAGACCAATCTGATGGAGGCAATTCCTCAGTTGAGGTCTCCTCTTTCTGAGGTAACACTAGTTTGTATCAAGTTAACAACCAAGATTCACTGCCACATGTCCACCATTTTCATCTTGGCACTGAGTCACATCTCATGTTGTGCTTAGTTTCCAAACACAGACACCAACCAGGACATAATTCTGTCTAATATGATACAATTATCCCATGCACAACCAAAAATGCATTATATATTTTAGAGTAGGTGGCAATGTACCTTGAAGAATGCTTAGTCTTTTAGACTCATAACTTAAATATAATGATATACAACTGCAGTGTTACATTCTATGATAATTAGAGGAAAGAAAACAAATACTGGTTTAATATGTGTATTTGTCTACAAACATGTTCTTAATGAAGTAAGACAGAAATAATCAAGTGAACTGTTTCTGTATTGGGTTGTGTGGCCTCATCTACTATCCTCTACTACCCATTCTGTATTTCCTCCACCCTAACTCTAACCCATTAATCCTAGGTATAGGAGGAACAATACCATATATTGGATACTGATTCAAAGCATACACTGCAATCTAGATAACATTCCTTAGCACTCCAGGCAATTGCCACCTATTTAGTGTTGTAACTGTTTAAATGGCTATTTCACCATTCTGTCAAGCTAACTACTTCAAGATTATGGGCAACATGGTATGACCAGTGGAGTTCATGATGATGGGTATACTGTCACATTTTTTTTCTGGCTATGAAATGACTTCCTTTGTCAAAAGTGATGCCATGTGGAATACTATGTGAATGGATGGTTGTTTGAACATAAGCATATATGAAGAAAAGGAAAATCCATAGTTGGAATAAATATCTAATACTGTAAAGACAAAGCATTGCCCTCTCCATGAAGGAAGTGGTCTGATGTAGATAACCTACCACCAAGTCACCAAGGAATGGAACCATTTGTGGGCTTAGTGATGGTCTCTGTCTTGAGGATTTGGCATTCAGCAATAGCTGTAGTTGGACTAACCTTGTTGAGTGGAAGGCCATGTTGTTGAGACTGTAACCTCCCTCTCTCCAGCATAGCCATTTTGTCCATGAGCCCATTGTGCAGTAATAAGCAGAGATGACCAGAGAAAGGCTAACTGCACAGAATGGGTAATGCTGTCTACTTGATTATTGAATTCCCCTGCTAAAGTAACCTTTTGGTAAGCATTTGTATGGGATAGAAATAACCTCATGTCCTTTGTCCATTTAAAGAGGTCTATCCATGTTCTTTCTCAAATGTCTTTCACACCAGTTTTCCTGTCATGCTTTTTCCAAGGCCCTTGATCATTCGGTCAAACCCAGCCAAGGTGCTTTTGCATACTTTCTATCATAGAAAAGAATTGTAGCTTTCCATATCTTTGATTTTAATGAAACTACAAATATTTTCTGGGTATCAGTTAAATACCCAGAGTTAACAGCTGAAACCATAAGACTTCCCCTAGGAGTATAGTAAGAAAAACTACAGAGCCAAAGACTTAACTAAACAATACATTGGGTGAACAAGGGAGGAAGGGTCCTATTTGAATAGATAGTTAAAGAATGGCCAGAGAGGTAAGATGAGAAGACCCTAAGGCATTTTTAAGGATATTGACATCACTTTGTGTCAAGTGGTGATTGTGACAGTTTCATTACTAGTGATAAACTTTTAACATTTTTATGGAATTTAATTTTAAATAGTTTTATTTATTGAGATAATATAAGTTTCCTTCTCATTGTGTTCACTGTCCTTCATGCAGTCAGTCATCATTTGTTTTGTATATTTAATATTCATGATAGATAATGTGGCTTCAAAGACTTTTGAACTCATGTCCATAATGGTGTATAAATGAACCTCCTGATTTGCATTGTATAAGCAACTAGAAGCCAGTAATATTGTGAGGAGTTAACAGATGTTTTCTCACTTAATATTCACATTCAATTAAATATTAATGGTTATCTTGACATTTCTGAAGAAAGTCGTTAAGGTTTTTAGAATCTAACCAATAAAGGAATTGATTAAAAATCACTTTTAGCTTTTTAAGGAAGGCTGCTAACACTTTCCTAGATGATCATTACTGATTCAGTGAACAAAGTTCACTGGTCTCCGTACTGTTCATTAGTCAGTAAGAATCTGCTGTATACAGTTTTGTGTGCTGGCTATATGTGCTATTTGTAATATAGAATTGAGTAGGCCAGTGATGGGTTAATTAATGAAGATAATAGTTATTGAATTACTACCATTTCCATGCTATTATTTTAAGAAATGAATATTGTAATTTATAGTAATCTTAATTAATTATAAAGCTTAAGTAGACTCTGACCCTACTGACTCCTCAGACCCTACTGGATCGATGGTTTTAGACTGGGCAAATTATAAGAAAGTGACATAGTATAGAATTATAAAATTATAAAAGATGCTGTGAACTTGTGAAAGTCAGCTAAATTGGGGATGATGCTGAAAGATGTGTAGAAATTAGCAAGGCAGAGTAACATATAACTGAATTCAAAGTAGCAAATCTGAACAGAGATGAAAAAGAATTATGACTTTGGAAGAATAGAAAACAATTTTGTGTTATGAAGAATTCCCTGTTAGTAATTTGTAAGATGAAGACAGTTTGTAAACAGTTTCTAAATTTTTGTCAGAAAGCTTGATAAAATGTTGATGCTGAAGCAATTGTTCAGTATGGTCATGGCTTCAATTTTCAAACATTCACTTCTGAGTTTATCTCTGGTGGTATTGTATGTTCATTTAATTGTATGTCCTTATTTAAAAGTTAGTTGCCTGCATTCTGAATACTTTGCAGTAGGGTTTGGTCACAGGCAATTAAATTGTGAAGTTAAAGCAGTCTACAACTAGTAAATGAAAACAGTGTTTATTCTGAGAGCAGTTTTAAAATATAAAGAAAAATACAGCTTAATAGCCATGTGCTGATCACCCAAAATTAATTAATGCAAATATTGACTCATACGTATTTCTAATTTGTTTTCTCATAAATAACAAATGCATGTCTAGAAATGTAATTAAGATCTCTTCAAACCTTTTTAACTTCTTTTTGAATAATTGCTGATACCACCAGTTTATACATTTATATAGAAAGTCGTTTTCTGTTCTCTTCACATACATTGTATGCTAAATGCACTGTTTTTAATTATGAATATTTGAAATACCTACTAATGTTTAAAATGCACATGGACCATTGTCTACCACTTTTACTTGTAGTTATAAGTTAGAGAAGGTCCTTAAAACGTGAACATGAAGTGACACACAGTAAGGTACTTATATCATCGTCACTAAGAAGGAAAATTAGACGTGGATACTTAACAGGTGAATGGAAAGAAAACTATAATATATTAAGAGAAAATGGAAGTGTTCCTTTTTTCAAGTATATGATTATGAGAGCATAGTGAATACTAAGTTCTTATCAGCTGAGGTAGTCATTAGTATTTTAGATATGTACATACATAAAAGAGCAAATCCAATAGATGGATCCACAACTTATAAATTGTCCCTAGGATTTAGGAAATACTCTGTCTCCATGTCTCATCTTACCCAAGCTGTCCTCCTTACTCTCTGTTCTTACTACATTTCTCTTTTCCAGTTCAGACAATACTAGGGATAACATTTCTCCCCATCCTAGACAAAAGGAATGTTTGAGAGGTTTGGTATCCTGTAGCATTTTTTAAGAACCAAGTACAAGTGAGAGAAATACAAGCATGAGAAATACAAGGTTTTGGTGAAAACTAAGCATAATATCAGGCTGAATGTGTAAACTGGTTGAGATACTTGAAATAACATTTTGTTATATGTAGCATGAACTTCATCTCCCCCCTTTATTCTTCTGCTCTAAGTGCTCTAACCTATAACAACACTAAGTTTCTTCCAGTTTTTCAATTTTTTATGTAGCAAATATTTTCTGAACACTAGGGCCAGGCACTCTTCCAGACCTTGTGAAGTATTACTGAATAAAATAGATATGCAGTGTAACCATAGCAACTAGAAAGTGGCCTGCTAAATGGTGAATAATGCACATAAACAATGTTGTAATGGAAACCAGAATGATGACAACCCACTAAGTCCAAATTGTATCTCAGGTGACTGGGTGATTCCTAAAATTTGAGAAGAATCAATATGAGTATGAGGGGAGAAGAGGAGGACTCCTCTAGGCAAAGGAAAACAACTGAAGTATGGAACCTTAGAGATGAAAAACAGCATAGGGCTCTCTAGAGAGCAGCTTTCCCTGCTCCTTAGGTCTTTGTGGTCCACTCTCCACACAGCATTGATGCTTTGTAAAGATGAAATTTTGTCAATCAGTTGGAATCTTCCAGTGACTTCCTGTCTCCTTCAGAATAATACTTCATTGAAACCATGGTCATGTTGCCCTGTATGAGTTCTGCTACATTTCTGATCTTACTTCATTTTTAGCCTACTTACTCTTCCCTAGCCATTCCTAGTGTCTGGTGTTCCCCTAAAACTTGAAGCAATTTTATATGGTAGTCCTGTACAAACCATCCCATCCTGAGACTTTTCCAGTACATCTGTTAGGTTGTTCTCAATCTCAGGTTGTTCAAGATCCTATTAAATAACAGTCATATACCAGTAACATAAAACTGCCTCTTACGATGGATATGGTTGTCAACACCTATAATCCTAGCACTCAGAAGGCTAAGGTCACAAGTTAGAGGTCAGTCTGGGCTAGTCAGTAAGTTCTAGGCTAGCCTTTTCTAGGTAGTAAGTCTACCTTTAAATTAATAAATAAAAGATGAGTGTGCATATGTGGCATATGCGATTGATCTCCTCAGCCCAAGCTCCATTACTTTATCAGTTTGTTTTGCAATGTTTTCCTAGGCAGCACTGTCATCATTGATGGTAGCATTGTACAGATTTGATTGTCTTACTTGATACTGAGTACCATGAGAATGGGTAGTTTGCATGATTTTCTTTCTTTTTTTTTTTTTTTGTGCTGCTGTTCTGTCACACTGCTTTGTACATTAGAAGCACTCAATGCATGATTATTTCTACAGAGGAGGCTATGAATATGGTATCTTATTCATTCATATTTATGTTTTCCAAAGTTATATATGTGGATTGATTTAGTTACTGTAAAAGTCAGTCAATTTTCTTTAACCTTGCTATGTTTTTAGTATATTTTTAAGCTGATATTTTTTTCTTCCATGATTCCTTTCCCAAGGCTTAACTTTTCAGTTTTTGAACAAATAGATAAGTGTATCTTCTTGGTATTATTAGTTGTTGGATTGTAAATTAATAGTGCATTCTGTGCTGGCCTTGTCCTATTAACAATTTCAGAATCATTTAAGTTTTTTTATTTGTGAAAATTCAATATTATATCTGTGATAATTACATATTAATAAAAAAATACTGAAAAGTTTGTTTTATAGCAGTTGTCTTTCCTGGTTCTATGTTTTTATATGTAGTTTCTTTATCTAATCTTAGATATAATGTAAGCACAGATTCAACTCTTGTACATTTTAGCAGTTTAATGTAGTAGATAAGTAATTATTAAGCTCTCACTCATAACACATCCTTACATTGCTTTGGATTTCGCAAAGTGCCAGCCTTGAGGGAAAACAATCATGGACGAGCTGTCAAATTGACTTAACACTGCAGAATGGTGGGAAAGTGACCAAAGTTTGATTTTAAACAAATAATGTGTTTGTTCATTTCTCAATACCACCTGGCAGAACCAGTTCTCCTCTCGTTTTTCCTTATGTAGTTCCTTCCCAGTTATGTCCTGTTCCTAAAACTGGATCAAATAAGTGTTGAATTTATGTCATTAGTACATCAGCAAAAAAGTAAGTGCTGGTGTTCAATGGTAGTTACTCCTATAAAGTTTTTTCTCTTGCAATAATTATAGGGGATGGAGTGTTAGATCTCTCTACAAAGAAAACCAGCATAAAATCTGAAGAGTCGCCCATATGTGATCCTTCTTCTGAAAATGCAGTTGCTGGGTAAGCAATATCTAGGAAATATAATTCAATATTAATATAAATGACCTCTTGCAGAGAACACTTAATACTGTGCTGGATAGGACTGACATAGTTTTTCTTCAGAATTTTTGTCACTCATAAGTTTGTCTCTCTCATATTTTCATTTGTCCTTTCTCTTTCTTTTTTCTTTCTGTTAAAGAAAAGTTATCAGAACAATCACCAAACTTCAATTCATGTTACTAAAATGAACTATCAACTTAATCATGGGATACAAACTAAGAAGCAGGACAAGTGAGAAAACTTGAAATACTCAAGAGGCAATTTTAAGGAAAATATGTAATATAATACTTAGTTTTTTAAAATAATGAGCCATTTCTAAAAGTGCTGTAGTTACTAATTCTAAAACTAGCATATATGTTTACAGTTTTGCTTTAGTGTGGTGGCAAACAACTTAATATTTATCTAGTAATCACCACAAAAGGTCCTTTCATGTCTTTAAAACTCACTAAATTAATTTAAATAAATAATTGCTAATGAAATGCTGTTCTGTTGGATTTTGGGGTTTTTTGTAACTTTTACATCTTCTCATTAACTGCATAGAAATCTTTTTTGTCCCATTTAAATCTGAGATAAATTTATTTCAACTAAGGCTGTAATAGAACTGGAGTCACAGGTATAACAGACTTTAGAAGATTACAAGGTTGCATTTGAAATAGAGTAACATTATAAAATGAAGTTAGTCATATACATCTTTTTTCAGATTTTAAGTTTTATGTAGAGGAAAATGAATCTTTGGAACTGAGATGTCTGTGTTTGGAAGTATTCTTGCTGCTACAAATTTCCTTTAAATGGGTTGACTCTTTTATTACTTGTTTAGCGGTAACGTCACGTTTCTACTAACAAAAAAGCTCCTTTAGGATTTGGGTATTTTTATAATGGAACTCTATTTGTAAATAAAAATTATAAGTGTTGCTCTGCAAGCAGCTTTCAGAGGAAAAGCAACATCATGAGAATATTTTTACAAATACTCAGTTAGGATTTTATGTTCTTGGAAGGTCTGCCCATTGAGGCCACCGTATCATTGACACATTGTCCTACCAGGACTGTAGCGTTTGCTTTGATAAGGAGTAACTACTACATCCCACAGACCTAACGTGTCATAAGCAGTGATGTTACCTAAGCAAGGAGTATAATAAAGGAGTGGACCCTCCCCTTCCATAGCTGTGTGAGAGTCTCTCATACATCAGTTTACCATCGTTTCATTCCATCCATCCAGGAGACTACACAGAAACAGAGAGGACTATGTGGAAAGAAGTGCTGAGTTTGCAGATGGTTTGCTCTCAAAAGCTTTGAAAGACATTCAGTCTGGAGCACTGGACATAAATAAAGCAGGCATACTTTATGGCATACCTCAAAAAACCTTACTTCTCCACTTAGAAGCCTTACCAGCAGGGAAGCCTGCATCTTTTAAAAACAAAACTCGAGATTTCAATGATAGTTACTCCTATACAGACAGTAAAGAAACGTGTGCTGTGCTGCAAAAAGTAGCCTTGTGGGCAAGAGCTCAAGCAGAGCGCACAGAAAAAAGTAAACTCAACCTACTTGAAACCTCAGAATTAAAATTCCCAACAGCTTCCAGTTACCTCCATCAGTTAACTCTACAGAAAATGGTTACTCAGTTTAAAGAAAAAAATGAAAGCCTTCAATATGAAACTTCAAATCCTCCTGTACAATTAAAAATTCCTCAGCTACGAGTAAATTCAGTTTCAAAATCACAACCTGATGGTTCTGGTCTGCTGGATGTTATGTATCAAGTTTCCAAAACCTCTTCAGTCCTTGAAGGATCAGCTCTCCAAAAACTGAAAAATATTCTCCCTAAACAGAACAAAATAGAATGTTCTGGGCCTGTAACTCACACAAGTGTTGACTCTTACTTTCTACATGGGGACCTCTCTCCTTTGTGTCTTAATTCTAAAAATGGAACAATTGATGGAACCTCTGAGAACACTGAAGATGGATTGGACCGGAAAGATAATAAGCAGCCCAGGAAAAAACGTGGCCGCTATCGGCAGTATGATCATGAAATAATGGAAGAGGCCATTGCGATGGTAATGAGTGGAAAAATGAGTGTTTCCAAAGCACAAGGAATTTATGGGGTCCCTCACAGCACTTTAGAATACAAGGTAAAAGAAAGATCTGGAACACTGAAGACTCCTCCGAAGAAGAAACTACGATTACCAGACACTGGGTTATATATGACAGATTCAGGGACTGGCAGCTGCAGAAACAGCAGCAAGCCTGTGTAGATTATTGTTAGAGTATGTCTGTGTATGTGTGCGCGTGCGTGTATGTGTGTGTGTGTGCATGTGTGCGGGCATGTGTGCGTGCATGCGTGTGTGCATGCGTGTGTGTGTGTGTGTGTGTGTGTGTGTGTGTGTGTGTGTGTGTGTGTGTGTGTGTGTGTATGTGTACATACACACATAGAAATTACAAATGCTCACTCTGACAGGAGACATGAAATTTTACAGTTCAAAAACCACTTACATGCCTTTTGAAAAAGTTTTATTCAGGGTTTTCACTGTGGACAGAATTACAGAGTTGCTTATTAATTCTGATAGTTTGTATTTAATCCTTGTATAAATAGGTGAAAAAAGATTCAGGTTTTCTTTAGTAGTCAATAGCATAAAATGTGGGAAAACAAGTAATTGTCAAGTGAAACATTTTTTTTATTGGTAAAAGAGTATTCTAGCCATTCAGTTGAACCATCTTATAATGGAAATATGATATTAATAGTTTGTGAACACTTTTGTGTAACATACCTACAAGTACTGTGAGTATGTCAAAGAACCAATCAAAGTTAAATAGTTATCTCTGTACCAAGAGTAACTAATAGATACAGTATTAATACACTACAGTGCATTCTATGAAATACAAAATGCACTAGAGTGCATCCACCAGGATAGAAGAGAAAACCTTAAAGGATATGTATAGTAAAATTTAATATTTATCATTTAATTGTTGATTTAGCAGGAAGTTGGGGTTAAAAGTATATAATTTAAATTTAAAAAACTGACATAGTTAACCCCAGCAGCTATAGAATCCTTTAATATAAGATGGAATACTAAAAACAAAAAGTAATTTAAATTTAATTATTAAAGTAATTTAATTTTGTTTTTCATTTGAAAAATAAGCTAATGTGTAAGGTTAGAAAAGAAAGTTGGAATGCAACTTAGAGCATGTTTATAATGTGCACAGAACAAGCTTGAGAATGGTCATTTTGGTTAAATGTGCTGGTTAGTTGATGTTATGACTACTTTAAGGATTGTGACACACTCCTCCTATTGAAAAACCTCAGTGTGACTTTAATATATTTGCTGCTGTGACATTTCAAAACATTTTCAGTTTATCAAAATGAATTACAGATTTCATTTTGGTGGGTGATACATTATCATTTTGCTAATAACCAAATTTGCAGTTTGTTCAGGGTCTTGAATAGATTTACAGATATTTAACACTGAAGCTGTTTTGAACTTTCAGTAATGTAAACTCTTTACTAATTGGATAGTTAGAAGCTGGGCAGTGCATTTTAACTTTTACTACTCATATGAGACCAGTAATTTTTATAAAACAGTTTTAAAAATATGGGTCAGAGTATTCATGTGGGGGTATGGAGTATGCAGTTTGGGTAGTAAAATGTAATAAAGCATGTACCTCCATGTAAAGAATGGAGATTGCTTTATAGATGAGAATCCTCCCCAGTATCCCTTTTCTCTGTTAGAATTCAGGTTCTGGTCATTTTCCTAAGCCACTTTTCCTAAATCCAAAAGGAATTCTTAAACAGCTGAATTTAAAAAATGAGTGCACCTTGTCAAATACTTGTGTTTTACACTTGTGTTTGTGTGTGTTTAATAATCACATGAACATGTGATTGTTCAGCTACTGAACTTTAAAACCACTTACATGTATTTAAACAAACTGAAAAATAAGATAATATAACCAGGTAATTACTTGGTCTCTGAGATCTATATTGAACATGTTCAGCTGTTAATGTTACCTGCATACTAAGGTATGAATCCTCTTCATCTTTTTCTTCCCCCAAGAAAATATACATAATAGATCACAAGACAGAATTCGTCAGGGTCATCTTTCTTTTTAAAGAATTAAGCCATATTTTGTGAGGACCGGAACATGGATTGTTTATTATATTTCCTCCTCTTCCCATTGAGAAACAAAGTTAAAAAGTAAATGCCTCAAAAACAATTTTCTTGACCTCTTTATACAGAATTTTACTTGCAAAACTTTGGGAGCTCGAATGCATTACATAATATTTATATTGTATTGAGCTTTTTTATTCCTCACACTATATTTACATTGATAAATTGATTGAGAAGTTTATAGTAAAGGGAAACTTACAGAACACTTTTATATCATTTAAAAGATGACCTGACCAAAAACTTTACAGGATTCATATATCAGGGATCATTTTGCTATTGACTTCACAGTGATCAGTAGTTTTATAGGTAATATTATAGTTAATTTGCAGCATTTTAGTACTTGTATTATTTATTTTTGGTCAAATAGTAAATTAAAATATTTTTTGATAGTTTATAGGTAATGATCAACCCATAACTTTTAAAAGAAACATAATGTTTGTATTACTGAGTTGACTTTTTGATTATACAAACTAGGAAAGGCAGGGAAGTTTATGGGTTCCCCTCTCCCCACTGATTCTATTAAGATGTCCTTTATGTTAAACTTTCAAAGTACTTTATAAATTTAGTTACCAGTTACTACTTAATTGACAGATTCTGAAAAGTCCAGTTTCAGCTGACTTTTAATGAATATGAAAGCAACCCTTATGTGCTTTCTACTTATTTGAATGTTCCTCAAGTTTTATATTTAAAATAAAAAAAGAAGGAATAGAAAAAAACAGTGCCTCTGTTTTTAGAAAACTACTGCTCAGTAAAGTTGTTTAAACCATTTCTGGTAGCTGATGACAATTTTATATTAAACTGTGTACTGACTTTAGTGAGACTGATTCTTTTTTTAGTTGTTTACAGTGCAGATACTTGTGTTTGTTTTTTAATTGCAGTATTTCCATTGTCGCGGTAATTTAGTAAAACTCTGTGGCTGCCTTGATTTTGACAGATTTTGTTAATATAAACTGATTGTTAGGCAATTAGTTATATTTATGCATAAATCAATTGCACTATAATTCATGAATTATTTATTACAATATTTTCTAATGAATTCATGTATCTGTCTTGTGTTGTACATGTACTGTAATTTTGTTCCTACTTTGTGTTGTTATATATCTAAATCTGATTGTATGAATTTTAATTGTTCAGTTAACGTGTTTCTAGGTTGTAATTTGTAGTAAAGCACTTCAATGCTTTTGCACTTAAATTTACAACACTGTCGGTGTGTGGTTAATTTACTCATTCAGTAAAAGAAAAGAAAAGTAAAACTTGACTATACTGAATTCTTTGATTCCCTGTAAGGAGTTTTTTTTTTTTTTTTAACTGTTATTAGAAATTGACTTTCAAAGAAATACTCAACAACAAATTTCTAATGGAAAGGGGACAAACTAACAAAAATGAGATTGTTTGGGCTTATAAACAAACAGGAAAGAATTAGAAAGAATTCATCTTAGAAAAAAACTTGATAGCCAGTAAGGTTAAGGTGGCCTTTAATCTTATCACTTAGGAGACAGAGGCAGGTGGATCACTGTGAGTTCTAGGCCAGTTTAGTCTTCATAGAGAGGTTCAAGCCAGTCAAAGCTGCATTGTGAGACTCTGTCTCCAAATAACAATTTTAGGGTGGATTGGAAACTCACACATAAGACCATTCACTCATTACATTTTTCTTTCTTCTAAGATGGAAAAAAAGAGAGAAAAAAACTTTGAAATCAAACAAGACTATTTTAAAATTCTGTACTTAATTTAGTTGTCCACTGTGATATATAAGATAGAATCTAATATCTGAATATCTGACATAGTAATCTATTTTCATATTGCTAGGTGAGTATTAGTGACTATTGGTATTTTTTCAGCTTCCAGTATAAAAACTAGCAAACTGAACAGGAAAACTCTTCCTTTAAAATAAAGATTTCCTTGGAATGTCAGAAAAGGAAGTCAGTGGTTTCAATAATTTTATGAGCTTAATCAAATTGAAATTATAATATTTTTATAATATGTAACACTTACTGCTTTTTTATCATTTCCATTTTGACAGGGCTGACTTCTTTTTCTATTGGGAATTGCACCCTGGGCTTTGGACATGCTAATAAGCATATACTCTCCCAGCTCCTCTATACAAATCATTTCATTAACAGAAAAATGCCTTTGAGCATTTTAGGAACTACTAAAATGATACTAACCTTTGAAATATATATCATATTCTAAAAGTTTGTAAGCCTTCCCACTTGTTACTACTTAATAAATATGCTTACCAGGCCTTAACATTGTTTCAGAAACTATTCGAAGTATACTTCTTAGGGTATGTTGGCTTTTCCTTTGCTTGTCTGAAATCATAAAATTGAATTGCTGGAAAAGGATATAATTATCTAAGATTTGGTAACTATCATTTCATGTTGCCTTTGCTGGACCATTTTTAAAAACCTTTTGACATTGAATTTTGAGTTATTTCTAATCATTGTACACTGTACCATTATAAAATTAAGTTTTAAAATTTTTACAGAAGGAGCCAATCCGAGGGCTATATATATTCTTTTGTCTAGAGGCAGCACTGAACTTAAAGATCTTTGTTTATTTTGGTTTATTTTAACTCTGTTTGCTTCTATATGTCAGAACATGTACTAGTCTTTCTAAACATTTGTAAACTCTAATAATTATTTTTTTTCTCAATGAAGTTTTGGTCACATGCTTACTAGAATTTGCTTTGGCACTGTTTTGCTCCTTAGACAACATAATTGTATAAAACTCAATAAATTATTGTGTAATATCTATAGATAAAAGTTATTCCAGTGTCAGGTAATAATATAAAAATATTGATTTCAGTGGTTATTTTAAAACAAATCCCTTTAATTTTTAATACCATGAACATACTAATCCTTTATTCTTGAAAAAAAAAAGCACATTTCATTTGGGTCATTTATAAGTAGTATATCTCAATTACAATCCTAAATAGCATTGTTTTCAGACTAGGAACAAATGACAGGCTCATCGGGTTAGAGAAGGGCTGTTCCCACTACAGAGTTTGGTGATGTTTCATTAAAATGGATACTTTTCTGAAACAGAATTCCTTTAATATATTTTATTCTTCTTGCTGCTGGTATTGAATTAAAAATATAGGTTTCTATACTGTTGATAAGCAATCCTGAGTCGTAGTTAAAGTTAGATGTGTATTAGTGTCTGTGGTAGGGCATTTTCCAGCATTTGAAATTTAATAATTAGGTAAGTAGTGCCTTCAGTTTTCCTGTGCTTTTCCATAGTTTTTAAAATCAGTTAAAAAGTAGATTTAATTTTTAAATAGCTTCCTTTTTCTTTTATATTCTTCCTAGGTTAAAATGGCTGCAGCTTAATCTCAGAAAAAGATACTCTTTTATTTATTTTAAATCTAAATTTGATAACTTTCTTTATGGTTATGCACAGCTCTCATAATATTAAATTTCCTTTTTACTACCTACTAAAGTATTTTAAATAAAAATAAGATTTTATTCCTTACCTTCCTTATTTGCACTAACATGGGCTGATAATTATAAAATATGGCAAAGTATATACTACTTTACAAAAATTTTTATTCCTTTTGAAGCACTTTTCATTAAAGATTATTAATATATCCAAGATCCTTAATATTACCAATGTGTTAATAATGTATGATCATCAGCTTCTATATTGCAAAAGCTTTGCTTTGACTCCTGTACTTTGTCATAGGAAATTACTTAACAGTGCTTCATACTGTTTCTGCTAAACAATGACCAAGATGTCCTTGCAGTTCCATCCATAGGAGTCAGGAGTCCAGCAATACCAAAATACATCATTCAAACGCAGTCAAGAATTATAACTCCTTATCATGGTATCTTTCCTGTAATTCATTTTTTGTTTGATTTTTTATTTTTAGTTCAACTGTTGATGCAAAATCAGAGGAAGCTACTAAAATGGAAAAAGGAAAATCAGCATTAAGCAAAGTTTTGGAATCTTTGTGCATACGTCACCATCAACAAGTTTTGGCTATGTTGAAATTTCTAGTCCAAGAGCAGAATGCTGCTTCTATTTGCTGTTGTAATTCATCATGTACTATGTCTTCAGAATCTCAAAAATCCCTATTCGAAGATGATTTACATGGTCTGTCCCATAGCTGTGAATATAGACTGGCAGAAAGAGGGTGTTTACACAATGAGAGACAAAGCCCTAGTTTAGTGCCTCTGCCAGTCTGTATTAAAGAATTACATTGTTTGTCTTGTCAAACTGTAACTGTTGAACACATTAAGACAGTAATGAATAGAGGTGTTGAAAACAGTTATAATCCACACAGGTGTTGTTGTGGACAATTAGCAGAGAATCACTCTACAAAATCAAACTTTCCTAGTCCTCTGTCAAGGGAAGTTTGTGATCTGTCAGTCAATCTTAAAGATGGCTGTAGATCTCGAAGTCCCTCACCCCCACCATTGTCACCTGTGGAGACTGGAGGATTTGAAAAGTGGAAAGACATCGTCTCAGAGCATTCAGCCTTAGAAAATAACAAACTTGAGACAAGCATTAACCAGCCTCCATCTCTCACACCAGCTGAGATAAGCATTCACAAATGTGGTCATGATAGCAAGATAAATAAAAGTAAGCAATCCAGTAACTCTGATTCTGTGCTCTTGGACGCCAGCAGTAGTTATACTTCAAATCATGAAAAGGGCGAAACAGCTATAATTTTTCAAGATTTAATGGACCGTATTAATGAAAAATTAAAATCAATAGAAACCACAGATACATCAAACCTCATAAAATTATCTAGCTCTGATTGTGATTCAGATAATGATTTTAAATTGGGAGATTTAATAACATCTCTCTTGCACAGTGCAACAGCTAGTGACTATAGTTTTATGGAATTACTGAGTCAACATGATAAAAAGGTAGAAAATAAAATTATTCAAACACGATTTCGAAAACGTCAACAAACCTTATTTGCAATGCACAACTCTCCTGATTCGCCTGTAATCAGAAGGCAGTCTTTACAGATAAAAAGAGAACTTGCCAGTCTTGATGAAAACTTTCTGAAAAAAAGGCACAGTGAAAAAAATTCAAGAAAATTGTCATGCAATGATAAGATACCTTCAGTGAACAAGGAATTCCAGCCTTGTCAAGAACCTTTAAAAAATTCCAAGAGCTTTCAAGATGAAAATCATGCAGAAACACTATCTTCACCAAATGATGTAGCACCACAACTGCAGGTAACTGTTGAGAGTTCAGAAACTAATGTGGCTTTTGATCAATTTTCAGAAGCAACTTCATCTGAGAAAATGAGCCAAAGAAAGTCACCAGAGAAATCTACAACTGAAAAACTAACTGTACAAAATAATAGGGAAAATACAAAACTAGAAAATACTCAAACACTTTTGAGAACTGATGCTCCTGGTCTTTTGAGCAGAACTAAACGGAATATTGTGCCTCCAGGGTGGTATTCCATATATGTAACAAACAATTCTGCTTCCAAAAAATTCCTTGAGGGCAAAAGAGTATCAGACTGTGCTCACAACAAAGATCCAGTCAGAGATCCAACTGAAAGTCTCCAAACTAGAGACTTAAACAAAATTGCAATGAATTCTAATTTGCAAGTTGTTGTGGAGCGTTTGGAAGACACAATAAATATGGCTCAGAGGTCTTGGACTAATCAAGCATTATCTGAAGGATGTAAAGCCTACAAGAAATTGATAGAAACAGATAGTAAAGTCCAAAATTCTGGGGCAGCTTTGACTTGTACTTTAAGTAGAATGGCTAGTAAAAATCAGGGTTTATCAAAATCTCTAATAGCATCTAGTAATAAAAGGAATTATGGTATGCCTATAATGAATTTGAAAAAGAAATCTGATAATCAGAAGACAGCACTCATTTTAGAGAGAAATAGTTTGACATCCAGTGTTGAAAGTGTGCCAACAAAATGTGAAGGAACTGAAAGTTCTGTTTCTAATTATTCTAGTCCCATCAAACTCATGTTTTTATCTGAGATTAAAAGCAATGAAGGAGTCAAATATACTTTAACTTCAGTCAGCACATCACAATCAAATGCTAAGTTTGCTTCTCACAAGCATAAAACCCATCAATTAACTGGAAGAAAAAGAGAAGCAAAGGAAGACATACCAAACACTAACTTTGACGATTATAGTTCTAATCATGATATTAACTACCTTCAAAGCCAATTAAACTGTGTACAAGAGGCTACACCATCATCTGCAGAGTTCCCTGACAGTTTAAACAGTAATAAGCCACAAGAAGACCCTGAGGGAAAGTCAAGCGGTGCTATTGACTTACCATATAAAAGAAAGCCAGGTAGGCCTAAAAAAATTGGCCCCCAAGTTGTGAAACAGATTAAACGGCCAATTGGAAGACCACCCAAACCTAAAGCCGGTCAAACAGATGTCAGTGTTGGCCAAACTGAGTCTTTTAGTTCTGGGAAGAAAAATCTAGAATCTCTATCAGAAGTGAAGGAAGGTATTTATAGAAAGAGTATTGTTGTCACTGTTGTTTATGGAAGGTCAAGAAGAACCAAGAGATGTGTTTCTGAAGGAAGCATGAACATTAGCAACATCTCATTGAACAATGATGCTGAGGACTTTGCAATTAACTCTAGAAGCCTCAGAAATACTAGAGAATATGAGACTGGCTGTGGAGAAAGTCTAAGTGCTGTGTCAAAATTGACACCTGAAAGTGAGATTTGTGATTCTGACTTTGAATATGTTAGACCCATCAAGAGCAAGTCTGTGATCCCTCAGGCTTCCAAGAACATTATTCGACCAAATCAAAAGCCTTTGTCAATTGTTAGGAAGCCTGGTAGACCTGCAAAAGTGAAAATCTCTGGTATATCTGTGACTGTTAGTAGAGTTTCACCTCAGCAAAGGGAAGTATGCCTTAGCAGCTGCTTACCTCCTTTAGAACAGGAGACTATGTTAGAGAAAACTTGCCGAGAAGAAAAGCTTGACCAACAGTGCAGTAAGTTAGATAAGGTCAGGCACACCGATGTTGACATGTTTAAGAATGAATCAAATAGTACTGTTGTTTCTATACCTCCAAAACATTCCATCAGGGCTAGAAAACCTTCTTTGCATTTCTTACATTCACTTGCATCTTCTGACTCACTCACTTACAAAAATACTCTGCGTCATAAATCATGTAAACTCCATCTGCAGAAAGGCAAAAGTCCAAAGAAAAAATATAGACAGTCAAGTTTGAAACTAGCTTCCAAAGGTATCCCAGGATCTAAACATTCAAGGAAAGCAGCAAAATGTTTTGAAGATAAAAAATTAATGCCCATTTCTGAAGTATCCTTGGACCCTGTTATTTCATCCAACCCTTTACTCAGGTGGTGGGCTACCTCTACTTCAAATGATTCCTTGTTAGAGGAATTGAACAATAGATTTGAACAAATAGCAAATGCATGGGTGCAGGTGAGTAGAGGTGAAGCTCAGAATTCTGTTCGTAGAACAGAATTCACTGAAGATAGTGGTTTCAAAGCAGCAAGCCCTCTGGAAACCTGTCTTCTAGAACTTGAAGTCTCACCTGTAAAAATGCTTTTTCAAAAAAAATATAATTTGAATGAACTTTGTACCTGGTTTATGCAAACAACAGAAACACAGTCCCTTTCACTGGTTAGAAAAGCAAATGCTCGAAACCCTTTGGAAGTGATAAACACCAAGGGCATTAAGTTAGGGGTGAAATGCTGTGGGTTTAATGCTAGCCCCTTCAGGAAGCACTTTAAAAAGTTTGCAGTCTCCTCTCCTTCAAAGTCAGCAGGGAAGTTCCGTATACTACATAAAATGGTTGGCTCACCACTCTTAAATGTGAAAAGAAATTTAACACTAGCTAGGTTGAAAAGGACTGAGTTTAAGAGTTTGCACTGTGAAAGGTGGAGAAGAGAGGAAAAGCCACACAGCCACAGAACAGTTGACTGGAACTCAAAAAGAAGGAACTTAAGATTTTTCTGCCAGAATCAGTTTTTTACTAAGACAGAGGGGGAGATAAATGAAGAGACATCACTCAGTGGGGAAAGTACAGTAGGTAACCAAGGGGCCTCGCTACCAGAAACCAGAGGTGACTCTCCTCGTGAGAGAGTGGCAGTTCATGACTTCACAACACATGCTAGCTTAGAGAGTAACGTTAAGTCAGAAACAAAGGAGAATGGAACAGGGTGTGGCCAGATCAATTCTGAAAAGGGACAAGGACTAGGAAATGTGTTTTCTAGTAATTGGAGGACAGAAACTTTAAAAGACTGTAGAATATTTTTGAGGAAAATCAACTGTCTTGAACAAAGAAATACTTTTAAACTAAATACAGTCATTTATTCTCCGGAATCTGTTGACAGTGGGCATAATCAGGTACAAGAAGAATCAAAGCGTTTTAATTTAAGGTCCCATTCGGCAAGGCAAAATTCCTTTAAAAAGCAAAATAAAGAAAGAGAAAGTGCCAAAGCAAATAGTCCTGCAAGTGATAAACTAACTGATGAACTTGACAGTAGTCAGATAAGTAAGCATGTTAATTTTGACAAGAGTCCTGATAGTTCTGAGGCTCTTAGCAAGTTAAACAAAAGAAAAAGACCACCATGGAAGACCACAGAAATGTCAGCTAAAAGATATAAACGACAGTCTTGCAACAATGGACAAATGGCAAACTATTGTACAAAATCCTAAATAGGTAAGTTTCTCTCTCCTTAATCTTAAAGTTTCATTATAGGTGCCTTGAGTAAAGCATAAGCTAGTGGGTAGAAAAGGAACAGCTAATTCAATTCTAATTTATTTCTAAAATATTTGAACAACCTCAATTCATGGCACCTAGTATGAAACTCATGAAATAGATGCAGCTTGAGGTGGTGCACTTGGCCACTGGGTGTCAAACACAAGCAAATACATTTAGAGGAGACATGAAGAGCTTCATGAAAATAGGCCATGAATGTATTTGATAGATGGCTATGAACAGCTAACTAAAAATTTACTACTGCAAGCTAATCCATGCTTATTCTCCTCAAAAATAAATATGTTAGTATATAGAAAAGAGCTAAGACTGTCTCATTTAAGACTGAAACACTGTGATCCTAGGGTGTCAATCTTGCCCAGTAAGCTGTTACTCCATTTGATGCTGCTTTGCAGTAAGCTGTTACTCCATTTGACACTGCTCAGAAAACCTGCTGTGAGGCTGCTTATTTAAAAAGCAGTCAACTAAGATGTTTCCAGTGATCATCGAGTATGTTAAGTGTACTTCTATGAATCAGACATTGATCTCACTTGTGCAGATACAAAGAATCCTTTATGTAGCTGAGCAAGTCACTGTTGGATCATGTCAAATTGAGAATGCAAACAAATTATATGGTAGTGAGGTACCTTATTAAGTTACACTGGCCTAGCTTGGGTACCCTAGGAAGATTATTGCCCCTTTGAATGTAATAAAGTGGTAATACGAACATGGTAGTTGCCAGCATAGCCATTTCTGTCTGCTTATCATAGGTGCTAGATATTAGAAGATGGGAGACTTTACAAATTACTTCCTCACCATGAGAGAATGCCAGGGTTATATTTAGAAAGAATATTCTATGGTTTGTGTTCATTTTTACATTGTATAATTTACGGCAGTCTTTGGGGGCTTAGGGAAGTATTAGTGTCTTGCCAGAGTCAATAGCATCAGGTCTCGTTAAAACATTAAAAGAGCAATTAAGTTGAAAAGTTTTAAATAGGCTAATGGTTTTATGTGTACCACCCCCCCAATTCAATTAGCTGAATAATTTTAACATGCACAATTCAGTACTATGTAACATAAAATGATTAAAATTTCAAATATCTAAAATGAAATGACTAAATGCTTAAAGGAGGTCAAAGTAGAATCTCCATTATGAAAGGTAAATGAAAGTAGAAAGAAATAAGTTGATTGTGGTTTTCAAGAACGCTAAAAGTAACATTATAACAAATGCTCTGTCAGGAAAATACTTAATAGCAAATTTTTAAGCTTATAAGTTACCTAAAATATATATACAAGTTTCACGAAGAATAAAATAGTTTCATTTTTACTTGTTTCATCTTCATCTCATGCTGTTACAGATTTTAAAAAGTAATTTGCATTAATTCATTTTACAACAGAACTGTATTTTATCCTTGCAGCTTCTTACCCATTGTATTTTCCTAACAAACACAATTTTACTGAAATATTATTCTTTACCCTGCCAAATATAAAATTACTCTAAAACAGGAAGATGGAGAATATCTAAATATTACTTTTGCATATTAATTTTAAAATCCTTTCTGGGTATTTAAAATAATAGCATCATATGAAGAGTTGTTTTTCATCTTTTCCATTTTAAAATTTGCTAGTAATGTTTCCTGTTCTGCTTAAAGTTTTAATCATCTTTACTGATAACTTTCCTTCTTTATTTTTAACATTCTTTTTTAATCAACAAGATCATTATTTTTATAAAATTGTATTTATAACAATATTTGTTATGTTTATGTGATTTTTAAATGTTTCTTACAGTGTTGTTGTGTTTTTTTTTCTCATTATTCTTGGTAGTCCATACTTGTTTTTGCCTTTTGGAAGTAACACTAAAACTCATCATTAGTTTTATATGTGTTTTTCTTTTTCGTAGAATAGTGACTGAAGACTTGAAAGACTGTTAACCACAGGACTTTTCTAGAAAAATTCTTGTGTGATGTATATTATGAATTTGAAATGTTTCTATGGGTGAAAAAAAAAACTTGTCTCTATCATGAATGTCTTGCCTGTGTACATATTAACTGTCAAGATGTGGTTTAATACATAAGATTTCACTGCATTTTCCATACTCTGTGTTAAATGTAGACACGGGAAGAAAGGCAAGTGCAGTTCTATCCTATTGTATTTCTCCTATTTAAGGAATTATTACAATATGTTCTTAGCATGGAAAGTCCAGGAAGTTCCATTTCATCTAAGTGAGAAAAGACGTACATGTTTATATAAATAAAGTTATTTTGTGTTGTAAGCAGGAAACAGTGATTAATGTCATGGGTTTTGCTCTTAGAAAATTAAGATTTTTTTTTCATAGAAAACTAAATATGTATTGAAAGCTGAGTAATGTGACCAGGAAGAAGTTACCTGATGGAACATGAAGGAGGGACTCAGATGTATCCAAACATTGCTGCATATGCAGTGAGACTTGAAAGAAACTCAAATACTAGAAGCTAACAAGTGGTGGGAGGAGTTCAAGTAGAACTAATTACATGCAGAAAATTGAGGAATAAAGAAAGTTGGCTCATTTGGAACAGTGAGTAATTTGTCAGAGCTAAGGTACAAAATAGGGACTACTATGTAGTGATCAATCTAAAGGTATAAAAATCACAAAAGACAGAATCACTGGGAGAGGCATTGTTCAAATGATGTCAACATCAGTTACTAGGGGGAAAAGGTTCTAAGCCCTAACAAGAAAAGTAGAAGTTAAATTTTACAGAAGTCTATGAAATAAATCATTGTCTTAGTAAAATAGAGGAATGAAGGGAAACATAATTGAGCATCTTAGAACATTTTGAAGGTTTGGGTTTTAGCTTTAGAGGTTTAGTTAGTGGGATTTCTTAAGGTAGAGAATGAGTTCTGTCCAGAGATGAAGCTTGAACTGAGACAGACAGGTAAATGAGCAAAAGTCACTGGAGCAGAAGAAAGTGGTTCCTTAGGGTAAGACTGCAGGATTCTAGGATCCCAGCATTGCTCTGAGGTGCAGAAAATAGGTGCACATGGAATGACACTGATGAAAGTAGTCAAGAGATGAGAGAAGACAGACTGGAGGAAAATGTTGTTTTAAGAGAGGAGTGTAAGTTTTGAGTCACAGGAGTTTTGAGATATTCCAGTGAATACAGAAAGGGGTTATCCTATTGGTGGAGGGAACACTGCAGAGTAATAGACACAGAAGCCAGCTTCAGTGCTGGGTGCTAAGTGGTCAAAGAGGAAGTAAAGAAAATAAGTAAAGAAAACGAAGAAGCTGTGAGTTGACAGGAGGTACAAAGGTAGGTAGCATTTGCTGAGATTAAAGGTGAGGTTTTGAAAATGTTTAAATGTCAAAGCCATTGAGAAATAAAAGGGCTCTATGAAAATGAGAGGGAAGCCTTAGGATTGGGTATTGAGTATAGGATCTGGGGGCATTGTTAGAAGTTGTTCTTGACCAGAAGTTCCTATTTCTCTTACAACAAAGTGGGGAAACAATAGGTGGTGATACAAGTCAGTGATTCATGGTCAGAATGTTGAGATATTAGAGTTCATTTTTTTAAGACTCAATGTAATCTGTGGCTAGGGGGTGACTTATCTACTATGTAAACATGAGGATATGAATTTGGATCCCCAGAATTTATACAATATCCAGGTACAGAAGTATACCTGTACTTCGAGCACTAAGGAGGCCAAGAAGGGTGGATGACTGGAGCTCACTGGACCCTTCAGACTGGCCAAATTATGAGTTTCAGTTTCAGTCAGAAAACCTGTCTCAAAAATAAGGTGAAGACCTATTAGAGGAAGGCTCCCAGTATTGACCTCTACTCTATTCTCCGTACATGCATACAAACATGCACATGTGCACACACCACACAAACATGTACATAGCACCCATTCACAAATGAGGTATGCTGAGAATAGTGTGGTAGAATTAGGAAACAGAGTTTGAATAGCTGTCTCTAGGTATATAGATTTGAATGGTGGTGCATTCTTAGCTGCCAGGGTGTGTTTGGTTCATCCTGTCTGTAAAGAAGAAGGCTAACAGAATGAGTCTGCTATGAACAACACTCTGTGATTAAGGATCTATGTAATCAAACAGTTATGAATAATCTTTTCTAATTACTACAAAACATGGAGTTGGAGAAGAAAAATGAGCATTTGATTAGATGTAGTTGACATATGTATATAAAATGCTAGAACTTGAACCCAGGGGCAAGTACATGATAGGGAGGCACTCTGCCACTGAGCTACATCCCCAGCCCTAAAATGGCCAGGTGCTGAAGATTTTTAGGTAATATTGGCCTAAATGGACCATTTGACTAGCAGTGAATTGTAATACAGACCTTTGTTAATGCCCATGTTTCTCAAGTTCAAAGCAAACATGCCCATTCATTAATTTTTTTATTGTCAGGTTTATCTCTATTTTTTTTATTTTTTTATTAGTTCAAGTTAGGAAACAAGCTTGTTTCACATGTAAGTCCCCATTCATTCTTAATGACTATATACATACACTGACTTTGGACATATGTGAGGAGATTGTTAAAACTAAAAAACCTACTATGGACTTGAAAGTACTGTAGACTCATTTAACTCATCCTAAAATGTTGGGTTTTCTACAAATACTCAAGAATTAGAACTGTCACTTAACTTTTAAATATTTAACATATCAGCTTTTCCTATATTGTCTTCTATCCTGAAAAAATAACTGAATTTTTAAATTTATTTTGCATTCAGAAAGATGCCTTTCACAAAATTTATCACTTACCATTCATTCTTAATGACTATATACATACACTGACTTTGGACATATGTGAGGAGATTGTTAAAACTAAAAAACCTACTATGGACTTGAAAGTACTGTAGACTCATTTAACTCATCCTAAAATGTTGGGTTTTCTACAAATACTCAAGAATTAGAACTGTCACTTAACTTTTAAATATTTAACATATCAGCTTTTCCTATATTGTCTTCTATCCTGAAAAAATAACTGAATTTTTAAATTTATTTTGCATTCAGAAAGATGCCTTTCACAAAATTTATCACTTACGGGTGACTTTTAAGTGATAGATCCCTTCAGCTCCCTGAGACCAGGTACTGAAACTTCAACCCACACTCTCCAATATTCTCAGAACATTCAGTCACTTTGATGATTGAACACAAGATGGTCTTTAAAATTTGGGGAGTTGGGGTACCTCATTGCTGGGTAGTTTTAGACATTATAGTTTATATTATTCAATATCATAATTGTCACATAATGGACAAACTCTTGGGTCCAGAGTGGATTATTCTAACCTTAATTTTGGTGGAGAAGTATTCCTTCATGATTCAGTCACTTGAGCTGTGCTTTCTGTGCAAGCTTCCAAAAGTGGATTCCAAGGAACATCAGCCACTATGACACTCTTGTGTGCAGGGTACTCTGGCACCAAGTGTGACTGGAGTTTTGCCTCTTGTTTCCCCTAAGGCACAGTTCTTTCTCAGCATGGTAAATTGCATTTCCTAAACTTTTTATGTCACACTTTTTGTATCCATAGTTGGAAGCACTTCTTTTGTGGGGGGGGGGACCTAGTTTTTTGTTTTTTAAGATTTATTTATTATATACACAATTTTCTGTCTGCATGTATCCCTGCAGGCCAGAAGAGGACACCAGAGCTCATTACAGATGGTTGTGAGCCATCATGTGGTTGCTGGGAATTGAACTCGGGACCTCTAGAAGAGCAGACAGTGCTCTTAACCGCTGAGCCATCTGCCATCTCTCCAGCCTGGAAGCAATTCTTTATAGAGTTTTCTAATAGAGTTTCAGAAAAGGATGTGACTATAAAGATAAGTTATATGCTATATTTAACCCTGTTCTGGGTGAAAAACAAAAATCCAAATAATGCCTTTGGTAACATGCCACAGTAAAGGAATACTACAGCAAATTATTGGATGTTATTTCAGATGACTTTACTATGGCATTTTTTGATAGGTTATAGCTAGGAAACATAAATTCTTGCTAGTTTTAAAAATAGAACAAAATCACTCTTGTTCATTCCCAGTTCTACCCCTACTTCTCCCAACAGTTGTTACTTTAGCTGTGGTGTGTCTCACTGGAGCAGTAGCCATCCTTATCCAGCAGCATGGTACTGGGGGAGTCATGGGCAACAGATTTTCCATCTCACAAATCCGTATTCTCTCATTTCACATTGTAGCCCTGTTTTCTCTAGCTGAGGTAAGTTTAAAGGTCATCCTCTTCTTCCATGGCCAGCTGCTGTCATTTGTTAGAGGCTGATTTCATTGCTTCACATCTGCCTCATAAGATCTTGTTACCTCACATATCAGCTCAAGTAATCCCTGCCTTTTGTATTTCCCTTTTTTCTTTGTTTTAACTTAATCTTTTTTTGAGATAGGCATGCTGTTTTACACAGGCTTACCTTGAAATCCTGCCTGTCAAGTGACTGTGGTTCAAAACATGACAATCAAACCTACTCCATATTTGTTTCTTCACTAAAGAATTCAAAATTTTGACTTGAGTCATGACTTAATGGTTAAAAACACTGGCTGCTCTTCATAGGACCCACAATTCCTAGCATTCAAATGATAGCACACAACCAGCTCTAATTCCAGTCGCTGGGGATCTGACACTCTTTTCTGGTTCCTGCAAGGCACTGCATATGTGTGATACACAGACATGCATTCAGGCAAACACACAAATACATGAAATAAAATCTCTGAAAGAAAGAAACCTAAACTCTTGACAGGTTCTTCTATGACCTGCCTTGCATAGTTCTCCCTTGCAGTGTGCACAATAGCTTGTCTTTTTCTACTCTGATCTAAGTGGTGACAGTAAAAAAAAGAACTCGGAACTCTTAGTCAGATTCTCCTACTTCCAGTTTCTTTGCCTCATTTTTCGTAGACCATAAACAGTTTTCTTCACTGTACCTCTGAGCATCCTGGTATTGCAACACTAAGCCTGATGCAGTTACCTATTAGTGCTTTATCAAAAAAAGAAAGTTAAAACATGTCTGAATGATTTTTTTCCTTGTTCATACTGGCTTAATTTTCAATCAAACATTAGCGTGTTCCTCCCCCTAATTCTAGGCAACACTGGAAAGGTTGTTGTTTGTTTCTGTTATAGGAGAATAAAAAACTAGATTTTATATTATATTACTACATTCACTCTGAGATGTTTGTTGCTCCTGTGTGTGTGTGGGCACCCCTATAATTTCAGCCCTTGGGAAGCTGAGGAGGAGCCCACGTTTCAGGCCAGGCTGGGCATCATAGCAAATTGAAGTCCCAGTCTCAAAAACAGGTTTGTCTTCTCTGTGCTAGTCAGTAAGTATACTAAACACATGGGGAACAATTAGAAATAAAACCAGATACAGTTTCTACCTTCATTTTTACATTTATTAAGGGAGGTAGACATCAGGCAAATTATTTTCAGAACTCACTAGTAAACTCTCAATTACTGTATGGTGCTATGAGAGTTTATTATACAAAGATTCTGTTTGATCCAGAAGATATCCATTGATTGCAAAGACAGAATAGGAACTAATTAGACTAAGCAGCAGGGAACCAGTGGGATCAGAATGATTTTCCAGGAAGAGGTTAGGGGAATACATCAAGTACTGCTAGGTTACAAAAACAAAGACATGGCCAGTGTGTTTCAAGTGAAGAGAAATAGAGAAAACATGATAGCAGATATGGTAAGGTCTGAAGAATAGATAAAGGGTCCCTGGTGAGCCATGAAGCACTGTCGGTGACTTCCCATTACACATAGAAGATTGAGGTTGCAGGTGAATGAGATAGATATGTGATGACATCCTAAGAAGTCTCTGAATACATTGTGAAGAATGGGTGGTATAGGGCCAGAGTGAAGGCATAGAGCCTTACGATAGCCCAAACGAGATGGTTCTACCTTAGAACAGTGGGTCATAGCATGCATTACAATCACCTGAAGTACTTGTCCAAAGATACTATTGAGCATCATCCACAAAGTTGGATTCAGTAGATGTTGAGTGGGGCCCAAGTGATGCTTATGTTATTGATCCAGGGACCTCACTATGAGAACCATTGACCTTAAGGGCCTAGAGATGGGAAGATTAATTCTTTAATGTTAGTGTAATGTAAATTTCTCTCCAAATACTTGAGGTATTTTCAAATTTTGCTCATATTTTCATTAACTGAAAGTATTTTAAGTTATAATTTTTAATAAAAATCTTTTTATTGCAATGACTTCACAAATAAAAAGATCATGCAGCCAGATTGAAATAACCAAACATAGTTTCATTCCCAAACTCTGCATTTCAATGAACTTCACAGTTAGAATGGCCATTCTGAAGCCATGAAGCTTGGCTTTGTGCTTTTACACTTTCATTACCAATTACATTTTTTGCAATTATCTGCCCCAATAAAAGAAGAAAAAAAAAACTATAACAGAGTTGAAACCACAAAAACTATTAGCTTTATATATCCTCTTTACAACTCATATGTCCTTCTGTCTGCACTCCGTCCTTCCTCATCTGATAGCACCCTTCTTTCAGTTTATTTTTATTTCATCTATCCTAGTTTCTAACTTTGTTATTTAGTTTCCAAGTAGTTGAGATTTTTATTGATCTCTTTTAGTGATTTCTAATTAAAGTTGTGGCTTTAAAGAATAATTAAATCAATCCAGTCTTTCTCAGTTGACAGATTCAGTTTATACTCCAGAATCTTTTACTGCATTTTATTTGTTTGTTTACTTACCTGGATGTGTGGATGGGTGGTCATGTGTACATCTATGGTGCACATATAGAGATCAGAGGACAACTTGTGTAAGTCAGTTCTCTCCTTCCAACATATGGGTCCTTGGGAATCAAACTCAGGTTATCAGTTACGCATGGAGCCATCTCCTTGGCCTTCAGACTCCAGAATCCATTTAAATCTTTTTAAATGATTCCTGTTCTTGGAAACAGTGTAGAGGCTACATCTGTTGAGGACCCTGTGAATGACAGTGATCCAAGTTGGTAAATAATCCTGAGGATGTCAGTTTACTCTCACTGAATTTCAGTCTTATCTTTTCCTTAGAGGAGTGTCAATCTGCAACTTGACTTTGTTTATTCAGTTTCACTTCATGTATTTTGAAGCACTGTTATTAGATGCATATATAATTTCTTTCTCATTGTGGAATGAACTTCCTGATCCATAAAATGCCCTGTGCTCTAGAATCTATTTTATTTGGATGATCTCTGAATCCCTTTACACTATTTTTATGGCATATCTTTTCTGTAACTTCATGTTTCCCCAATTATGCCTTTATATTTAGATTTCTCTTAAGCAGCATATAGTCTTTTTTCCAGTTTGATAATTTCTGCACTTTACACAGCCACTTATATTTCATATTATTATTAATATAGTTCATTTTAAATCAGATATTTTCTATTTAGCCTATTACTTTTCTTTTCTTGGGGTCCATATAGTTTAATAGTCTATTTAATCTCTTCATTCACTTTTTTTTTTTAAGGTTGTTATACGGAGCCTGTTGACACAAGTTTCTAATCCCAGCTACTTGGGAGGCTGAATCAAAGGAATCCCAAGTTTGAGGATTTCCTGGATGAATGAGTGAACTCCAGCCTTGAAAAGTATAAAGGAAGGCTGGTGATATAGCTTAAAGTGCTTACTTATGTGGATGATAGCCTAGACTGAATCACCAGTGTCCCAAATACAATTGAAAGTGTTGCTATTAATATTTATCGTAGATTATCATTTTGCTTATCATCTTCAAATATTATACAACTACATGAATAACAAATGTTTTTAAATTTATTTTACATCCAGACTGCAGCCTCCACCAACCCTTTTCAATACACTCCTCCTCAGTATTCTCTCAGAAAGGAGCAGGCCTCTCCTAGGCATCAGCAAGTCATGGCATATCAAGCTGCCATAAGACCAAGCACTTCCCTGTTTTCAGACTGGGCAATGCAACCCAACATGAGGAAGAGCTTCCCAAGAGCTAAAGCAGCAGGGACAGCCCTTGCTCCCATTGCTGGGAGTCCCACAAATAGACCAAGCTACATACAACTGTCATATATATGCAGAGGGCCTCAGTCGGTCCCATGCAGGCTCCCTGGATGTTGGTTCAGAATCTCATGAGTCGGGCTAGCTGTTTCTGTGGGTTTTCCTGTGATGTGCCTGATCCCCCTGTCTCCTATAATTCCTTCTTCCCTCTCCTCAGCAGGACTCCCTAAACTAGGCCCAATGTGTGGCCTTGGGTCTCTAAATCTGCTCCATAAGTCACTGGATGAAGGCTCTGATCACGGGATGGCCAGTTCAGGCTATGCATTGACTGCTGCCAGGGGTCTTAGCATGAATAGCAAGTTTTATAACAAAACATTTTCGCTTCCTTCCCCAAGCCATTGTGCTGTTGCTGCCTTACATTTTACTTCTATAACTGTACAAATTGTACAAGTATGATTTTTCAAAGTAGTAATACTACTATTCCTATTGTTTCCTTTATACAATATAATGTTCCATTTTCTGTTGCTATAACAAAATAACCGAGATGGACACTATAAAGAACAGAAGTTTATCTCATTGCTTTGGACCTGGAAGATCAACCAGCCTCAACTATTCAGCCTTTGTCAAGAACCCCGAAACCTGGGGTCCTTGCATGCAGAGAGGCTGAAAATTAATTGACCACCTACAACAGGTGAATCTTGTGAAAACTACATGAATCTCTTCTGAGGTTAGTGTCCTCCCACTGGGTAGCCCAGTTGGAGGGTCCACCACCTCAGTGCTGCTGCACTTTCAAAGCACATGAACCCTTGGGAACACACAAGCTATGTCCAGTCTAGTATGGTCATCTTCCAAGTGGATTTTTTTTTTTTAATAGGAAGAATTTCTTCATGAATTTTTCATTTCTTGTGCTCTTCTTTTTTTTTTTTTTTTAAACAAATCAGGATTTCCACCTAATTGTTTCATTCTTCCCAAATCTTTCTTGAGTCTCCTGTAGTACAGTTCCGCTGTGGACTATTTTCATTCATTCTTTACTTTTATATAGCATTCTTTTTTAGAGAGTACCTTGTAAGCCGGGCATGGAGGTTCCCACCTGCATTCCAACTCTTAAGTGTCTGAGGCAGAAAGATCGTGACTTTGAAGGTATATTAAAGTTCAAGGCCAGCCTGAGCTACTTGGACTTTTAGTAAAGTAATGGGCCAGGGATGTTGCTCAGTGGTAGATCACTTGCTGAGCATGTATAAAGCCTAGACTTCGATCCTAGCGCTACAAAATATTTTTTTCATGAATATGGATTTCAAATTTGGTTGATTTTCTTTTAGTATTTGAAAGATTTTTTACCTTGCTGTTCCTGAAATTAAGTCTGCTGCTACAGTTAACTTTTGTCTTCTGTATGTTAACTTTTCCCGGTTAGCAGTTTGACATGAAGCATCTTAGCATTATTTCCTATTTTCTTAGTATTTGTTGAACACCTTGAATATGAGTGTAGATATGAACAATCAGTTTATTCGATAAGTATCCATCTCTCTTTGCTTCTGCAATGTGTCATATATGTTCTGCCCACAGGACAAATACTCATTCAGTGGTTACCTCAATTTTCTTTGTTCCATTGTAGATAATACTATTTCTGTTACTGTCTAGTCTGTCGTCAGTATTACCCAGAATGTTTCCCAATTCAGTGATTATGCCATCACCTCCAGTTCAGACTTTGTCCCCATCACTTCTGTATGCTCAACTTTTTGACCTTACCATGTATTTTCAATACCTGTATTGACATTTTTTGTGCTAGTTTTATGTGTTAATTTACCAGTCCCTGTGAACTGAATCATATTTTTGTTTGTATCCATGATGTGTATAAAATGTGAGACATTATGAATTTTGTGTTTTGTGCTGGGTTTTTCATATTTTACATATTTGGCCCCTTACTAAGAAATTCCTATCCTTTCAAGTATAGTCTTAAGCATTGCTAGGGAAAGCCAGAATAACCTTTAGTCTATAACAGTGGTTCTTGGGGGGTGGGAGGGAGTGAATTTGCTCCGTAGAAGACAGTTTTTATTGTTACATTTAGATGGTGCTGTGGGCACCTAACAGGTAGAGGGATGCTGCTAAACATCTTCCAGTGCATAGGGTGCCTTTCACAATAAAGAATTAGGTGGTTTCCAAATACAATTGTACAATTCTCCAGTGAAGCAATCTTAACGCTCTTGAAGATTCTTAAAAGACCCAAAGTCTGAAAGATGGGGTTATAAATTATATCCATATGTGTGTGACCTCATAATTTTGCACCTGGTCCTCTTCACAACCTTGGGAACCTTTCATGCCCTGTCTCCAACATGTCTAAAGACCCAGGAGATGTTACTGTAGCTCTGGGGTATGCACAAGTAGCTTGGTCATTCCTGCTGGCCAAAACTTAAGTTTCGACAGTTGCAGCTCTCAACTGTCTCCTCTATTCTTGAATATTTCCAGTGCCTCCTGGGTTCGTCTTCTAATCATGGAGATTGTTAATCTGCAAGGTACCAAGTCAGTTGTAGGCTTTGTTTTTTGTAGGAAGCAGTCATCCTGCCTACCCTGTGTAGTTTAACTTTCAGTTTAAACTCTTTCAAAGCAAGAAGACAAATCTGGTTCCTGTTACTTCATTGTGGCTCAAAGCAGAACAAAGATTTATTCTGTCAACAAGCATTATCCAGGTGTTATGTGCTCACTGCTGAAAAGAAATGCTGAACAAAACAGCAAGGATCTCTGCTCTCCTCGTGCTTGTATTCAGTGGATGAGAAAAAAATACAAACATGAAGCAGTGATAAACTGTGTTGAAGATGCTGAACACTAGTTTGAGTTTCTTAGGGAATGACTTTGGGTTGAAGGTTAGGAAAATCTTTTGTGAATCTGTCAGTTGACTTGAACTAAAACGGCATTTACAAACACAACAAAACATGTATGAGGACCTTGAAGGAGACCTTGTAGAGTGAGAAGGCTGGAACTCACTTTGAGAAATCCCAAACCACTATTTTCCAGATAAAGTGGCATGCAGTGGGCAAGGCAGCCAAGTATTGTGTCTAGTCTAAGGCCAAAAACTGTTTTAGGAAATAAGAGGCGGTAGCTTAGTCTGCTTGGATTGACACAAATACCATAAACTTTCAGTTCTGGAGACTGAGACGTCCACAAGTTCCAGCAGGGTTTGGTTTCCTCAGACTGTTTACTGGCCGCCTTCTCACTGCACTGTGTTCTCACATTCAAAGACTCTTTTCCTCAAAGGAGGACAGGATAGCAGTCTAGTCTGTATGACTCGGATTTATCTTAATTCCCAAAGGCCCTATCCATGAGGGAAAACATAGCAGGGGCCAACAGTATTGAATGCTGTAAGAAAACAAGATGAGACCTAAAGATGGATTCATCAATGTGATGGTTGGGTGACTTGAATAAGAAGTACTATTTTCATGGAGTGAAAGTACTGGAAGCCAGATAGGTTTAATTTACTGAATGTAGACACAAGGAGACTGTGATGCCAAGTACAGGATTATTTATTTAAGTCACCTAAGTCTAAAGGGTTAATGAGGAACATGAGTTTTGGTAAATTCTTGTTCAACATTAAAACTGTACTGAAAGCATTATGGTGAGGAGCCAAATAACAAAAGTGAAAATATCCAACAGCACTGACACCTAACACTCAATCCCAAGCATTTACTTTACTCATGAGTCTTTGGTTGGCAAATAGAGATCCAATGTTGATTTTGGTTTTGTTCACTATCTCACTGTTAGCTGGCTTATCGCTGGCCCATGAGCCTTTCACATGCTTGCAGCAAGTTTGCCTATCAGCTGCCATCACCACTGCCATCAAACCGCTTGACAGCAAACACTGGTGAGGTTATAGAGCAGGAGGGTGAATTTAGGAACAGGTAAAGAAATTAAGCTATTGAACCATTCAGTTTGCCATAAGAGAAACAATATTAGGATAACTCCTGAGAAGGCTACTGGGAACAGAGTACAAGAACACTCTAAGTCATGACAGGACCTCAAGCTAGTATTACTTTAACCCCACAAATTTTGTGTTTCCCATTTTCAACCCATAATGTCTAATTTATGCTAGCAATGTACTGCTGGGTTTGGAGCCATCTACTGGGAAGCACAATTATCTATCAGGAACCACACCTCTAAAGAAAACTGACTCACTGTCCCTCAGAAGACATCAAGTGCCCACAGATCCTCAGTTTATGTGGAGATTCATGAACTCCTTCCCCCTCTATGTTAGGATGTTGACAGGCTTCTCTTGTGTAGGAAAACACAGCTGCTCCAAGTTATGAGTGCTGCAGTCATGTCATGCCCAGAAGTTTCACTCTGATAATCCCTCAACCTCCAGCTCTTAAAATCTCCCCCTCCACTTCCATTATGATTGCTGAGCATGGGGATGGGGAACCCATTTGTGGCTGAACACTCAACAGACATTTATTCTCTGAAGTTTAACTAGTTACAGGTTTTTGTGTTAATCACTGTCCACTACACAAAGAAACATCTCTGATGTGGTCTGAGAGCTGCACTAATTAATGTTTATAGAGATAAAAAAAAAATAGAGGTAGTTTGATACTATATCCATTTATCAGAACAAAAGTAGTAGGTTTACCATAGATCCTGTGAGCTACCTAAGGGTTCTTGACAGTTTATGGTACCTCTGGTAGATCAAGCCTTAAATCCAATCAGAAAGCAGATCCATAACATATGTGCCATTGTTGCAGCTATGTGCATATCTTGCCACACCAGTCATTATTATATTTTACAGGGTTCAACAGTTGAGTAAAATTACTGATTACTACTCCATCCCCAGTGCCTTACATAGTACATTCCAGTAAGAGCATGCCAGCAAAGAGGAAGCTTCTTGGTCAGTACCAAGTTGATTTCTCCATGTCTTATAGCCAGTATGTAGTGCTTTCAACAATGTGGTCTTACCATCAAGTACTGGTGGGCAACCAAGAGCAATAACAATAGCTTATATATTGTTTCATGGGAAGAGAAGGGAGTCCTCCAAAACACCTTTCAGCTAAAGCTTGAGAGGGAGCACCCTACAACTAGTACTAGGCTTTCTACTTGGCAGTCCATGGCTTCTAGAAAGAGCATATCCCCTATGTAGGGTAACACCAACCAAACTTATATGAACATGTAAGTGTGTATGCTTATAAAGTAATGTTTCTGTAAGTCTTTCTTGAAAGATGATTAGTATTTACCCCAAACCTACCCTCCCATCCCTTTCCCCATCTTTCTCTTGATAACAACTGTGTTCTAATAGATGCCCCCCCTCCTTTAAAACCCTTTTCCTCTAACCAATGGTGTCTTTCTAGTTTCCTCAATCCTACAGGTACTACAAATTAAATACACAAATCTAAAAATCTGACAATAAGATTCACATGAGTATTTTGTCTTTTGGGTATGTTACTTATCAAAATAGAAAATTAAAACTTTATTCTACATTCCTTGTGAATGCCTATACCAAGGTTTACACTAACACACTTTGACATATACCAGTTATTATGAACACACATATGTATTCTAGTATGACAGGCTTTGTGCCACCTTTATATATGAAAATTATAGATGATCTTTCTACATCTTGTGGAAATAAATCATATATCTAAGGCTCGTGGTTATTTTGTTTCTGTAGCTCAATACTTCAAATGGGTATTTTGTAAAGCAATGGGGTCTACTTAGTTCATGGTTCTGAAGACTTAAAAGCATGATATTAACATGGCCTTCAAAGGGAAAGACAAGACACTGAAACCATGAAGGAACCAGGCTTCTTTTAAAATAGCTAATCTTGCCTCCTGTAAAGCCATAAGAGCAAGCATTACTCTCTTCAAGAAACAAGTCATGACTCAGTCACCTCCCACTGTCCCTACCTCCTAAAAATCCTGACATCTTTTAAAACTGTAGACTAGCTGTGGACCAAGCACACAAGCTTCTGTGAGGTGAACCATAAACAAGTCCTACCAAAAATCAAACTCTACAATTATTAAACTTCAAAGTCTTTGCTCTTAACATGTTTTCCAGCTCTTCCAAATAATCACATCAGATTATAAACAAGTCAAAAGTGAACGTAAATTTTTCTGCCTTAATTGCCCATGCTTTATAATTCCTCAATGACACATCAAGATAACTCTTCTTACCTAAAGACACTACAGAAAAATCATACATGAATCTACCGTATTTTTATCATCAGCGAAAACACATGCATCCTTTGATTTTAACAGGAATAACATTAGCTTATTATTTCTGGAGGAACTGTACTGTATATATTAAGTGGCCCAGAAATGCTACATATATTCTATACTTGATACTAATACACTTAATCATTCCATTTCCACTAAGTGGAAAGATGAAAAAAAGTGTAGGATCAGAACTGGGGCTCTAACACCCTCTGCCCTGAATTAAGATCTTCATCCTCCAAGACCTATTTTAAATATTTCTTACCCTAGTTTCCCACTCTGCTGGCAGTAACTTTTCTCTTTAGTCCTTACTAACTTATTACATAGTTTCATTTTGTTTTCTGTTAACAATTCATGAATACATTCTCTGCCTGTGTCCTTACCGAGCTCTCAAGGCATACACATTTGCCAGTCCTAATATATCAGACAGATCTTGGTTAAAGTTTTTCAGGCACCTTATAGACCTGCTGGTAAAACATGTGTGGGCTCCTCATAAAACTGAAAAGCTTTGTTTTGTGCTAACTACCTAAATCATACTCTAGCACACCAAAAGTCCTTCACTTGAGTAACTGCTTAGTGAAGGTTCTCTAACTAGCTTTGTGCTAAACTTGACATTTGGACTAAGCTCAGCCATAATAAGTAATATATTTCTAATATTTTTTAGAACATAAACAAGCCATCCAGAATGTAGAATTCAATTGTCTAGTTTAAATTTGATAGTGTCAGGCACATTACAGTCACACATTCCAAAGCCAATACAAAACTCCAGCTCATCTGTTCATACAGTGACTTCTCACTCCCTTTGAATAGACAGACATGAATCCCTAACATTTTTCCCACTTTGTAGAAATGAAGGGTGTGAATCAAGCTCTTTATTAGCTGCTGCTACAAGGAAGCTTCATGTACTCAACAGGGTTCTCATATGGTACTATTGCTGCCTAAAGCAAATAAACTTCTATCTCCCAAGTATTGTGAGAAATAAGTAGTGGCTATTAACAGGAGAGTCATGGAAGAATTATAACTAAGGTAGCAGATGGTTGGTAATAGATATACTTCCATTTATTGGTTGTATAATAGGCAAGTAACTTTTCTAAGATTAAGTAGATGGTAACTACAGAAGAGACTTTTCATACAGAACCTGGCCAACAGGTTCTATAAATGTAGATCAGGTTCTACAATGTAGATCACACCTAAATTTACTGTTTCTTTGTATGGTGGCTAGCTAATGATAAAGTGTATTGTGAGCCTGTCACAAAACTAACAATGCAGTTGACTATATGACACCACAGCTATAGTAATGAGCAAGACTAAATAATTTAAAGCTAGATATACTAATTGGTTATAACTACTGGTTATCATTATCACAAACAATTGAAGTTCCATGACCCTTAAAACATACAATACAAATACACACACATACTCTTTAAACTGCCTTGGGATCCATGAGATCACTAACACTGAAATAACCTGAGATATCTAGGTAACCACTGAGAGTCCCTTTGTCTCATCAACTCCCACTTCCATTTAGGTGCCTGCTTTGACAGAAGGAACCTGACTTAGGACAAGTAACTCTTCCAACTTCTTCCTTTGACCAGAATATTAGGTGCTTCACATTTTAATTGATATATTTTCTTTTTATTATTTTTTTATTTTAGAGGCACTCATATTTACATATCCATCTCCCCATTCCCTAGCCCTCCCATCCTCCCATGTTCCCCACCAACCCACCCCCCACCTCCTCCCCAGGGATAGTGAGGCCCTCCATGGGGGGGGGGGGGCATCATTTCTTTGCCTTTTGTTTAATATTTAAAGCATTTTAAATGGCTCTCACAAGTTGACAATGTATCAACTTTTTCATACAAATAAAAATAGGCTGAAGGATAATTTTCCCTTTATACGGTCAAAGATTGATCTTCAGAACTTTGTAGTAGTATATGTGGATTAAATATATTAGTATGTACATTAATAGTAATAACAATATTTTCTGCACATATATAGTTTTATGCACCCTTTGTCATTTATATAGTAATAGCAATCTAGAAAATTAAAGGCATCGTTGTCCAACAAGCACAAGTGAAACAAAATTTATTTTTTTTTTTAGCTTTATACTTGCTATGTTTAGCTGCGGACCCATTTCATTGACCTATTTTTATATCTTAACCTTAAATTCTCAGAAAGGTGTTTATCAAGTACTTGCTTTAAAATTATAATCATTTCAGTCAGTGGCACATCACGTAGATCACTTACCAAACATGAGATGTCTTAGGTTCAATTCCCACCCAGTACCAAAACAAACACCCTCCTTGTTGGATGGTGGTGGCACATACCTTTAATCCCAGCACTGGGGAGGCGGAGTAAGGCAGATCTCTGTGAGTCCAGAACAGCCTGGTCTACAAGAGCTAGTTTTAGGACAGCCTCCAAAGCCACTGAGAAAATTGCCACCCTGCCTCAAATCCCCCCTCCCCCAAAAAAGTGGTTGTTTTGCTAGAGAGATGGTTCAGCAGTTAAGGACACATAATGCTCTCACAGAGGACCCAAAGTTAAGCCCCACTCAAGTCAAGCAGCTCACAAAGACCTATAACTCTAGTTCCATAGGATCTGATAACCGCTTCTGAAATATAGTCACATATGCACATACACACACACAAAAAAAAAAACCACACACATGATTTAAATAAAATTACAGGCAATAAAAATGCCATTTTTATTTTTCTTACAACTAGTAGCAATCTTTACAAAAAAGTCTGGCTAACTTGAAAAAAAAAAATGATACCCAAGTAGCTCAGTTTAACAATAAACCAAATATATTTTTCCAAATTCAACATTTCTGATAATAGCCACTTGCATCTTTGTCATTTATCAACCAAAACATTATTTTAAATATAGTAATATGTACAAATTGTATCTGATTTTGCTTTCACTTAATGTATTTTTATGACTAACAGGCTAACTTAATTTGTTGTTTTGCCTACTATCTAATTATATAAATTGAAACCATCCTAAAGTAGAAAATGTCTGTGCCTAGAGAAAAAACACTGAGACTGCCAGTGGTGTTAAAACATGTAATTCCGATTTAGTTTACTAAATAGCTATAAATTGTACAGAAGAAATCAGAAACAAGTTACAGGAGTCTGAATGTGCCACTGCCCAGCTCTATCAAGTCACTTACATCAAGTTACCTCAATATTCTTGATATCAATAGGAAGATTCATAGATACACAGTTGGAAAAGGCTTAGGAGAGTTGTAGTCTATATAAACTAACAGTTCAAGTCAAATGAGTGTTCATCTAGCTGCTAAATAGAATATGAGCCTAAAAGTAGGCATTACACATAAAGTGGAGAAACCTTTTCTTCTGGACTCAAGTTTGCATAAATTTAAGGAGCTGGATTTTTCTAGTCATTTCATTATTTTTATTGAGCAACTGCCACATACTCAACAGTACTTTATCTTCAGAGTTTGGTATCCCAATCTCCTTTCTTTAAGATCTAGAAGATATCAGACATGAAACACTAGTGAAGAAGCAAGAAAAATTCTGCCATTGTTTTGTCAAGTTCTAAAGTACATTCTAAAATATCAGATTTGGGTCAGGCCCTGACACATGGAAAGTTGTGATTAAGCAAAGTGGAGGGCAAGATTACCTAAATGACAACTTTAAGGAGCAAATGGGACTTTGTCCATTAGCATGTGAAATAAGACTACAGTCTTCCAAGAACCAGAGGCCATGCAATAAAGAATAACCATATGGAAGACATCTGACCAACCCAACCTAAGACCAAATAAGCCATCAACTCCATAAACATAAAAAAAGAAGAAAAGAGTTCTATGTAATAGGCAAGCAGTATCCTATAGGTATTGCCTCTGTTCCTGCACTAAGCTAGACAATAGATAAGACAGGCTGGACAACTTGACTCATTTATACCAAAACATGCCTTTTTTTTTGTCTACTCTTAATAATTAATCAGTCCACTAGAAAGCTAATGGAGCAAGAACAGGAAAGGTTATGTTCCCAATTCTACACCAGTTACAGTATGTCATCATATTTGTACTTTAAATATACAACCTTGCTTAGCAATGTAATTAAAATGAGATAATTTCATGTGAATGAGTCTAGAACACATCAGGCATTAACAAATGTTCATTCTCTTAAAAGTAGTCTTGATGTAAAGGATTGACCTTCCAATAAGTTAAATGTCTTTCTTATATAAACTAATGTAATGCAGTGATTGATGTCTTTTGTACTGGGCTATCTGAGTGAACACCTTGAGGCATACATGGCATAGTTCATCACAGTTCACTAAGGCAGCATATAGAACAAGAATTGTCAGAATGATAAGTACTTTGCTTACTTGCTTTAGGGTGCACACAGTATTCCAAACTTTACTACTACAAGGTTAACAAATGAAATTTAAACTTAAAATGCCTTACACTTTTTTTTTACAGAGTACTACAAATGAAAACTGATGAGAAAGTGGATTTGTCTGATGGGAACACAGCAAGCTGCCCATTGAGCCCCATTAAGATGTGCCTTAATCATCCTATTGAATGGAATCTAACAGCAGCATCTCTAGCAAGCTGTACAGTTCATAACCAAAATCTCAAAAATGAAGAAAAATAGTCTGCAGTCCTTGCACTATCTTTATTTTGTATGTCAATATTCTCTCATGAAAACCAATTGATCCTAAAATATTTCTAGTCCTGTGATCTGTCTTTATATTAAATCATTAGCATTAATCATTTTTATTATAATTCTGTTTTTTACAAACATTACACAAGATCATTGTGGAGTTTTGCAACAAAAGGAGATTTTGATGTTCTCTTTTTATTGGTAAATTTTTTAATGCCCTCAGTTTAAACATGTAATTGCCCAGCTCTATTTCTGTGCAGTTTTGACATATACATATTCTGTAATTTAGAACGCTAGTATTGTAAAGGTGTGTGATAATGACCTAACCCATGAACAGTTGTGTAACAGGTGGATACTAACTACCTCGAAGCAAACTGGGAAAGGCAAAGGTATCACTTGGAAGTCTATCTCTTCTAAAGTTATATATGTATAGAAAAATGTTGATTAGCTTATCAACTAGCATGTTTTCACTCATAAAAAGAATTTAGGTTATCAGTTCTCTTTCTGTAATTTAAATCTCTCATCTGTGAGCCATAAGAGCAATGGCACAATTGCATGTTTACTTCTCAGCAAATTTGTACCTCATGGTAAACAAGAACACTGGTTTAAATTAACAATTTTGAATGAAAAAAAAAAAAAGGGGGGGATAACTGTTTTTATACCTGTTGGTTTTATTGTATTTTAGCAGTTTACTCCAAAGCTTACAGGGATATCCTATAGAAGCTGGACAATATTCCTTACTAATGCTAATGATACAAAGTATACCTGCAGCCATGGCTATTGTCTAAAATCTGAGTAGTTAAGACTACTAATGGTTTAGTGATTAAAAGCTGGTTTTCCTATGTCAAATAAGCAAGCTTCAGTACAGTGTCTACATGATCACAGTATCTTTCCTTTTGGATACTCTGCACATACATAAATGGGATCGTAGTTCATTCCTAAAGAATTCCCTTACATCATGTTATATATGTACTGTTTTGTCCCTTCTGACTTCCTATTCTCCATGAATTTGTTTTAAGACAGGAAATTAACAAGAAATATAACAATAAGGAATATGAAGCACAGGAAAAGACACAGAGCCAAGAGATGAAGAACAACAGTGTTTTTCATTGGTTTATACTATTACCATAACTGCCTTTTCCTTTTGCTTAATAAGCACTCTTGCTTTGTAAGTTTGACTCCTTTTCTTAGTTCTATAAAGCACATATTATGTACATAGAATAGCCTTTTGGTTCTAAAAACCAGCAATATTACCTTCACTCCATCTTAGAACTCAGTTGAAATACATGGCCTCTGGCAACAAAAAAATTTAAAGCACAATTAGCAAAAACTTCATGTTAGGACAGTTTAATCTGAAATAAAAATGTCAGTATCAGGAATAATCAAAGGTGTTTCATTGGATATGGCAGAAATAAAAAACTATTTTTACAATGCAAGTTTCAAAACAAATATTTTTGTTTAATAAGTAATAACTTCAAAAGATAATTGAAATTGATAGCAAAGAAACTGCTCATAAAAGTCCATAAAGATGACTTCTTATAACTTTCACTTCCCATTAGTATTGTTTATTATTCTAGGTAGATTATATTTTGATGTGCCAAAAATCAATGTATCTTTATGATTAATGTGTGTGGACATCTCCCTAATTCAGAAACATTCATAAACAAGTGTTACTATATGGAAAGATTTAGGAAGAGAAAATTACCCACTGAGGTAAGATTATCAAATAAATACTTAGTATAGGCATCATAAAATTTTCAAAGCCATTGTTTAATGTAAATAAGGAATGCTTTGGTTCATTATATTCAATGGTAATAAGCAGCTTTCTATATAGCTATACATACATCATCCTTAAAATGCCATTTGTTTGGTGTCTGACACTGTCACCTATGTTAGATCTACTCTCTATCTAAGCTTCTCAAATTTTTCCAAATGTCAGTAACATTCTAATAAAAACAAGTCTGAACCCACGCAGATGGATCACAATGACAGATGCCAAAGTCATTTGGCATCACTCCATGTTTCTGGAAACAAAGCAGGTATTTCCTATTTTACCACAGTACCTATTAAAGCAAAGAAATAAGCACAACTTCAAAGGATTCCATCCTTATTCAGCTCTCTTAATGTAAATCCTCAATTAAGAAACTGTGCATGATCAAGTTTACTTTTCTCTAGTGCTGCTGTCTTGGCTCGTCTTGGTAATCTCATCTTCATCTCTGATGGTGGTTCTGGAACATCATGATCACTAAAGAGATGTTGAAAATACATTCATTTAGATATAATCTTTAAACATCAGAATATTTATCAATAAAACTTTTAGTTTCTGACATTCTAACAGTATGTAATTGACAGCCTGAGTCTATTAACTAAACTTAAAACTAAAATTCCAAGAAATCCAAAAACCCCTGACTGGATGGCTGTCCTACCATTTAAATCAACGAAAAACTAACTAATCTGGTAATTTTTAATCTACTGGTAAAGCAAGCTTTTATAGTGAAGCTTGTAAATAAATACATAGAGATCACAACAAACCATCCTAAAGATAGTTTTGGAATTCAAGTGCAAAAACAGTACTATGTTTGAAAAGTTCAGGCATTATGCTGGCCTGGCCCTGTTACCTGGCAGAATCCACTCAGACAGTACCCTGGTCAGCCCAGGGTGCCATGGGAACTAAATCTGCACGCAGGTGTAAAGGACCCCTTTAAAAGACAGACGCCGCCCATTTACATTCTCTTAATCTTACTCTCTCTTTCTTGCCTTCCTTTCTCTTACCCCAACCCCCCTCAATCTCATCTCTCCCACTCTCACTCTCCTGCCCTGTAATAAACTGGTTAATGTACTCTCTATAGTTCGTGTTCCATCACACCAGCGCAAGACCCGGGGCCCATCTCGCAGTTTCTTTTCTTATATTTTTAAACTTTTGCAAAATAACAACAATGTTCTCTTAATATAGTTAGTAAAATTAACAAAACATTGTTAAGTCCCCAAAAGCACTTTAACCTAAGACCTAATCTAAAAAAATATGCACAGCCCAATACCAATGAATAAATGAATGCAAGACAGCTATAAACTTTTCAGGCTCAACCATGGCTCGACATTGACTGACAGTAAACACTATTAACACAAACCACTAATACACTAAAGTTATAAGAGGAATTATAACTGAAAGAATACAAATGTTATCTAAATCAAGATAGAGTCATAGTAATGAGAATGAGAAAGGTCAGGTAATGAGAATACACAGAAATTGAGAACACATTAAACTATTACTAAGGCAATGCCAACTAACACCTCTTCATAATGTCCTTGATGGATAACTTTAGAATATTTACCAAAAAGTCAGTTATTAATGGGTTTTACTATCTTATACCAAGTTTCTCTCCCAAGAAAATTACAATTTTCTATTTCTGTACAAAATGAAAGTGATTGGCATCTTGTGTGTCTTATAGAAACATATGACATACCTTTCAGAGTCAGTCTTAGAAGCCTGACGTCTCCTATTGGTCCTAGATGAAGGTGGTGCTTTTCTCCGTCCTTAAAGACAGTATAATTTATTGGCAAATTTTTCAATGGTTTCATGTTTCTAAATCTAGTTTCCAGGCTATCTAGAGCTTTACTTTTGGCAAAGTAATCTTCAACACATTTCCTTGTTCCTAGACACCTTGATGCTCTCAATATAACACAGTGGGAGGTAGGGGTGGGAACACAACTAGAATTTACATAAATTTCTTTGGATGAGCACTGCAAATACATGACAAAGAGGCAAACTTTAGCTCACCATATGTGGTGACAAAAACATCTCAGGCTGGGAGTGATAGCTCAGTTGATAAAGTGCTAGCTCTGTTAAAGATGAGGACTGGAGTTTAAATGCCAGAAGCCACTAACAGTTAGATGTGGTGGCACAAGCTTATAATCCCAGCATTGAGAAGGGAGCCAAGCAGATCCCTAGGGCTCAGTACAAGGGAGAGCTCCAGAGAAGTGATGAATTCTTGTCTCAAAAACAAATAGAGTGTGACTAAGGAGCAACACCCAAGGTTGTCCTCTAGCCTTCTCATACACCCGCGAATGATCACATATAAATACAATAGTTTTATCTTACAGCAGGGATATAGTGCTGTAAGATGAACAGCTCCTAAATGAAAAGTTATTTTTATTATATGTATTTATCTTTGAAGCACTATGTTGACTAGCTATACTGGCCTCAAACTAATGGGCTAAAGCTATCCTCACACAGCCTCTAGAAAAGCTATTATTACAGTCTCACATTGTCATACCAGGTTTCAAATTTAAATAGCAAGACACATGGCAAGTTCAAATGTGTTCTTAAATATAATTAAATGGTTTTATTTTTTTTTGTTTTGTGCTGTTTTTTTTAAGGACCTCTATACACCAGGGTTTACTTGCTATATTATTTTACAATGTTGAGAAGGAAGGACTGGGGAATGTAGTTCTGTGGGTAGAGTGCTTGCCTAGCATGTACAAAGCTCTGGTTTGAGTGACCATGTAAAATGGAGTATGGTAGTACAACACCTGTATTCCCAACCTGTAATCAGAAGTTCAATAGTGAGTTTGAAGCTAGCTTAGATACATGAGAACCTGTT